CCTAAACAGTGGGACACGGCATTCCTAAACTTTTTTTCATTTTTAAATCTGTTTTTTATATTTTTTATTTTATAGTCATAATTGTTTTATCATTTACATTTGTAATGGAAAGTGACTTCATGGGTTATCTCATATTGAACTCATTTTTCAAATTGACGACTCTGTATATAATACAGGGAGAAAAAAACAGCCCTTGCTGAGTTTCTTGCCGGTTCTTCTCAGTACAAGGTCTCCCGCCGTAGATTTGCGAACCGATGGCGTAGCTTTTCGACATTCACAAGTGCTTGTAACAGCCTAGACTGAATAAATGATATTGAATTTTGAATTTTTTTTTTTTTTTTTGGTGATTCAAGTTTTTAGACATTTTTCTTCATTAGAACTCTGTATTTTATTAGCCATTGATTTTAGGCGATTTGTTTTCTGCAAACTAAGCTTTGCGATTAAAAAAGGTATGTATTAAATTCAATCAGAAGTATGGAATTTTAAATACTGACAAGAAAGAGAAGGGCGGCGTAGCATAGTTAAATATTTTGTCATATTTACACTTGTATTGGTCTGCCTTAGACATCTGGATTAAAAAAGAGTCCACTAAAAATGTTAGGTTCCTGTGGCCTTCACAAATAAACACGGGTAGGTTTGGAATTATTTGTGCCCTGATAAAGATGCCTAATTTATAAATTTCAAAATCCACGCTTACGAACTTTAATCAGAACAGTCTAATGTCGATATATTATAAATGGATGGAATGGATCGTGGAGTGAGACAAGGGGACGTTATTTCCCCGAAATTGTTCACTAATGCAATGGAGGATATGCTCAAGACGCTGAACTGGAAAGGACGTGGCATCAACATAAATGGCGAACGCATCTCTCACTTGCGATTTGCAGACGACATCGTAATCACGGCAGAAACCCTGCAGGACCTACAACGGATGCTGAATGACCTGGCTGACTCTTCTATACGCATCGGCCCACGCATGAACTTGGATAAAACCAAGGTCATGTTCAATGAAAATGTTCTACCGGAACCGATTGCAATACACGGTGCCGTTCTCGAAGTTGTTCAAAAATATGTGTACCTCGGGCAGACATTGCAGTTAGGTAGAAACAACTTTGAGGACGAGGTGAATAGAAGAATTCAGCTAGGTTGGGCAGCGTTTGGGAAGTTACGTCAAGTCCTGACATCGTCGATCCCACAGTGTCTAAAGACGAAAGTCTTCAATCAGTGCGTCCTACCTGTGATGACATATGGAGCCGAGACGTGGACACTGACGGTAGGGCTTCCACAGGTTGATGATGGACTAAGAAGTGGCGGTGATTACCGCACACGTCGCTAGATGGCGCTGACTGTATTTTAAAACGCGCATACGTTTTGTTTTTCCGATAAACTTGAGCTTTGTTTACACGCCTTCTATAGATTTCCAGGAATTCGCAACAAGTTTTGATTGAAATCGGGTTAGGAGGGTAAACTGAGTTCCTAGGGCAGCTAGAGATTACCCAATTAACGTTGTGTAACAAACTATTCTGTTACAAAGTACTTCACATTGTTATGTTGAATTCGAACAGCAAATTAGTTTGATTTTAAGACCAAACAACACACTAAGCGTATTCAAATTATATAAATGCTCTGAATTGTCTACAGGTAGGTATGAGTATCTATTTAAGTTAAAAGAAATGCCCGTCTTATGGTAAGCCGCCACCATAGCTTGAAGACGGTATATCAAAAAATATCACTCGCACCGTTGCATACCAAAACAAATCCTACTTCATGGAGCCCTGGTAACTTACTCAGCGACGGTAATACAACACCACCAAAAGGTAGTGTTAGTAAACTGATTTTTTTTATAAGGCGGAGGTTACTTCCCGAGACGTGCGGCGCTCCAATTTGATCGGGAAATCCACCCTAACTCTTCTATTAATTACCGCCTTTTGTATCGAATATGAAAAAACACTACTCAATTACCAAACCATATCCCCCTTAATAATAAACGAGGAATAAACTCTGATTAGTTACACCGTGTTTTGTTCCTATCACTCAAATGCCATTTGTCATTTTATGAACAGAGACAAAACATTGAGTAACTAATCCAAGCTTTTTATTCGTTTATTAAAAAGGGGGTTTTATGTTTAACGCTGGTATAAGACCTTTTGTATGCATTCTGAGTCGCACTTTGCCGAGTTTTTAGGTTTGCGTAAGTACCTACCTAAAGGGTGATAATGATAACGCAACAGACTGGTTGCTTTTTTTTCCTAAATGGCTTCGCACGGCTTGTGCCAATGTCAAGTGTTAAAAATGTTTACAAATTCTATAGCACTCGTGGTCAAAGTAAGTGGCAGTCAAGTCAATCCCCCTTTCCCTATGTTTCAGTAAATGTGTGGAAATTTACTGGAAACTCCCCGTGGACTTCTTGAGGGAACGTCGAAAGACACTTTGTATGTTCCCGAACACTTAATGGTTAATAATCCACCATTATTAGACACTGACATCCGCAACATCACAATTTTTAACAAGAAAAACAAAACTGCTAAAGTGACGCTTTCCGATCCCGCCGACTGTCGACTAAAAAGAAAGTCGACTGGTTGATTTTATTAGAAAAAAAAAAGATTTTTTACTAAAAACAAGATGTTTGGCCAGTGCGACTTATAGTGCATAAAGTAGTTAACCTTGATTCAATTATAGATTTGGCTCGGTTGCCTTGGCACTACTAAGTAGACAAGGCCAGTTTAATTAACCAAATTCCAGTGAAAAATAAGTATATTATTAGAGCTTTGCTGTCTAGATATTATCATTATCTAATTAACAACTTTTGGTGAGAAACGGAGCTACATTATCCTTACATTTTACTGAATGTTTAATAATCTAGGATAAAATAAGCCGTATAAGTAATAAAAATAAAATAAAATACCTATTCAACAGTTTTATGAAAACGAGACGGTATGTATATTTATACTGATTTCTAGGTGCACAGCTGAGTTCTAGGTGCACAGCTGAGTTCTAGGTTCACGTCTTGCATTTTAATAAACTTGACAGATCTCAAGATGTCATGTTTATTCTTTGCATCATATTTTCATAGGCTGCATCATACGGCGATGGTATAATCAAACTAGACACAATCTTAACACCTGCTTAGGAATTATTAGAAATCTGCATATATTACAAAGTTGTTACTCAACCAAATAATAATAAAAAAATCCTACACTCACACCAATTAGCCTAACCCCAAAGGCTTGTGTTATGGGATTTTAGGGTAACGGATTTATATATGTAGAAATACATATTAAACATCCATGATTGGAGTACAAATGCTCGTATTCATCACACAAACATTTACCCCCACCAGGATTCGAACCTGGGACCTCTCGAGTAGGTTCTACCTTTATGTTTTATTTTTTTATTCTTTTTTTTTAAAGGGTTTTGTCTATTTTAGATCATGTCACCCTTATCGTTCTAACCTTCTATCGTCTTTTTAAACAAATTGATACAATTTTATACAAAATCTTACTTATTTCTTTAAAAGGGACTAGACAGTATGCTGTTGTATAAAATTACATCCATTACTGTCAGCTCCGGGAATTATTTAAAAAGGTGGTATCTTTCCGCTGCAACCCTCGTACATTCAGCCATCACATGCCACACATCTTCGATCTGATCACACTCAGTATAATTTGGTGAGTTCACTTTTCTCATCAAATAACCAAAGCTATTTAAAGGTATGTGACCAGATCAGAGTTGGCGCCACCTTGAAACCTGTATTACCATTCGGCCACGTAAGTCGCCAAAGAGGCAAAGAAGGTTGAATTGTATTATTGTATATACGAGTATGAAAGAAATATAAAGATAGGATGGTAGCAGCTATGCCACACTGTTAGCGGTTAAAGTATTTTTAACCCATATAATTTCTGATCCACCGTCAGCTGTAATAATATTCTAAGATAATACCAGGGATTGTACCAAGCAGCAAAATTTTGTAAAAACTATAGTACAGAAAACAAACCTTATAGTACTTGTGATAGTGGTGAATGATGTGCCAAATATGATTAAGCTTTAATTTGAATTAAGAACTTTGGTGCTTATTCACTACAATCGAACTTAAAACCCAAAAGACTTAAAGATTGGCTATTACAGGTAGCACATAAAATTTTTCATTTCTGCTGGGGAAAGTATGTGCATTATTATTTTCATATTGTTATTACTGTGTTGTTCTAAGATAGGAGGCACATAAAACTTGTAGCTTGCGTAATAAAAAAAAACACTTATTTATTTAGCACATCCATAGTCTTCTTAATAACGTCTACCAGCACAGGTAACTCTGAAAATACAAAGATGTATATTTATTTGTGTAAAGTTACTCAATAGATTTAAAAAAAACAGCACCTATTATTACATTATCGTCAAATAATTACTGACATTCGATGTTAGACAGGTAATAAAAAACACAATAGGTATGACGTTTAGTTAAAATCCACGCTTAAGACATTTGAATTAGGCACTTGTCCCACCGCTGACGATGAACAAGAAGCGACTAGAACTAGTAACTAGAAACGAGTTGACGATCGGCTATAAGCGTGTGTGTGAGTACGACGGACGATTACTCGCACCACTCGCTTGCGGTCTGAGCAAAAATTTCCGCAAGTGCGTTTTGTCGGTCAAGCGAGCATCGCCGAGTGAGTATTGTCTTTGAATTCTTTGCAAGCTCTTGTCGCTTAGCGATAAACTAGTGGAGCGAGTTCTCGCCGGCAGTGTGAACAATTAGCGATCAACTAATATATATGCATCTCTTTCGTTTAATGTTAACGGATATCTAATTTAAGTTTCTTGAGCGAGAAAATAGTCGATTGTTATTCGCTTCATCGCCGGCAGTGGTATAACTGACTTATAGGCCACGTATTGAAAAAAAAACAGTTGTCAACTTCATGATCACGTTTAAATAAATCTCAAAGAGATTATTTTCAGCAGTGTGAGTTTGGTTGTAGATATTGAATTGTAGATAGAACAGTGATATGGAGGCTATACCGAAGAGTCCAGTGATGCAACATCGTCAAGATACTCTGGAGCAAGTTCGAAAAATGTTTGATCTGGATAAGCCGGGGCAGATAGACCAAGCCATAGATATTTTAAAAGAATGGGCAAGGAAACAACCGCATTTCATTAACAAGGAGTTTGGTACGCACTTTCATTAATTTACATCATCATTTTCAGTCTATTAAAGTCCCCACTGAAGGGGAACAGACCTTTATGGATGGCACAGGGAGACTGGGCCACGACCCACCACGCGGGCTTTGTACGGATTTGTGGATAGTAACGACTGCAGATGTAGCTGGGACTAAAGGCTTAACGTGCCCTTTGAATTTTAGTCATTTCATCTAATGACCGACCACTGCGAAAGTGGCTTAACTTCAACGATCGTAGCCGAAAGCGCTAACCACTTGCACCATGGATTTGCTTATTCATTGACATAGTTAAAAGCAAAGGTATTCTTCTTCTTCTTGATTATGGTGGTTCTCCTATGAAATGTATGTGGGAATGAATTTCCTTTTCGGATAGTACGGTTTTCGCCTATCCGAAAATAAGTGTTAGAATTTTCCGTCACAAACGTAAATTTTTTTGGAAGCGTATTGTTTTGTAGTTGTGTACTTATGTTTATGTTTTGTTTTAACTTTGTTCCAACCGAGTGCTCTCACGTTGGCTTTTTAGCACCTATTTTACTTGTTGTAATTGTAGTACCTACTAGTCAATACTGTCGGGTAAGTTCCACCAGGAACGCTTCCAGTACCTTAACATTGGTGACTAGTGAAATAATCCAATGGGTATCTTGTATCAAAACTTATCCGAATTTTCAAAACAAAGAATACGATCATAAATAAAATGGGAAATCATTTATTTGTACTTAGTAAGCAACAACATCACAATGAAGCTATACATTTTTTTTAAATTAATTCTACTGAATTTTAGTTTTATCTTGATAGACATAACTCGAATAATCGACTGACAGGACCATTTGTAGTAACAGAGACTCAAGCACGAATTTTGACAGCTCCGTAATCGTTTCGCATCGTCAAAGTTTCTATGAAAACTAACCCTATCTGACGTAAAAACAAACTAGGTTTTTCCATACAAAATTTGAGGATGACAATACGTTGCGAAGCTATCTTAAATTCGCACTCGGGTCTCTGATGTGTTGTTGACTATGCAATAAGTTTGTATGAATTCTATTAAAACTTTTTGTTTAGTAACTATGTCTGAATTCACAGATAGAGTTTATTTAGAAGGTTACATTATTAGAGCAAAAGGATCCGTGGAAAAGGCGAAAGAGCGCTTGGATAGCATGTGCATGCTGAGAACCACTTTCTCGCACTTTTACAAAGCTACAAAGGCGAACGAGTTGAAAAACACGAAAACAATGTAAGTATTAAAAATAATGGCGTCAGTAACTTTAAAATAAAACTCTAGACCAGGGATGGACCAAACTCTACACCTTAGTCAAAATTTGTGATTTTTACAAGAACTATTGTTTCAATCTTCTCCCAAACCTGCGCGACAACGCTACTGGTGTCTTTGATACTTACCAAAATACGCTAAAATTAGCGTTCGAATTTTAAATTAGTTCTTTTGTAATAAATTAGTGGTCTGCGTGTCTATAGACGCTAGACGATAACTAAAAGAGGTTGTAGAAAACGAAAAACCTGTATGTACAGTTGCAGAAGCGTACTTAATTCAAAGTTCGAACGATAATTTAACCACATTTTAGTACCAAAGTTACCCGAAGCTACGTCACAGTGGGAAAAGATTAACAGAAAATTATTGAATTTTACACCTAAAGCCTATGTGAAATGGCCAAGCTACATATTTTAATAAAGGTGTTGTTTATGAAGTTAGGCCTTGTAACGTTAGGTTGTGTACAGTTAGAAGCTTGGCTCTATTCTATTCATTTATGGTCTCGTTTTAGCGACATTTTATATGAAAATGTCTTTGGTGGGATTACTTATTTAATTGAAACAGTGATAGTATAAAGTAAAGAAAATTTTACTAGAAAATAATCCACAGACCGGGCAGCAGGCGGAACTTAAAGGGCCGCGGTAGCATTATAGTCGGTGCATCCGCCATGTTCTTGATAGGAGGTCGAACGGGAACTTTTTTGTAGGTAAGGTCCAATTAAGAGGGTCCAATGGGTACTAGACCTAGCGAAGGATGCGGGTTCGAGTCCCGTGTGCTGCCAGGTCCGCGTGGAACTTTTTCTTGTAATTTTCTTTAGATCTTTTTTTTACTATTACTGTTTGAATTAGATAAGTAATCCCACCAACGACATTTTCATCTAAAATATTGCTAAGACGGGACCATAATATGAGTAGAATAGAACCGAATAATTTTTCGTACATTTTCAGTTCAAAGCCGATCCGAAAAAATGGCATGGCCGAAACATGGCAATGTAAAAAAAAACACAAATTTTCACTTGCATCGTGGTTTCATTTTCAGACTTGAATTCGTTCTACCGAAACAGACAAAGGATTATTGCACAGTCTATTTTTTAAAAAACCATGAATATAATTTTGGAGACGCTTTTCTATTGAACTATTTTAGGAGAGCGGCAATCGTAAGTTTGAATCATTTTATGTTTTTACTTCACATAAAAAGTTACAAACGTTTAAAACTCATCATCAGGCATCCTTAGAAGTTTTTAATATGAAAGTTGGGTAACTTTCATATTGATAACTTCTAGTAGGTATTCGATACTGATATCGGATACCTACCTATGTGTTTATATAACGTCGAGGAGCTCGATGGCGCAGGTGGTTTGCGCATTCGGCGCAATTTACGCAATAGTCGGTCATTGGATGGGTAACCAAAAACTTATTATCTGAGCTCCTCCGTGTTACGAGAGGCGCGTTAAGTCATTGGTCCACCAATCCGCACTGGGATCGCGTGGTGGGTCACGGCGCAGTCTCCCTATTCCATCCATTACCCATAGGGCAGGCATGGCCTCTGCAGTGGAGACATTAATAGGCTGATGCTGATGGTATAGCGTCATTTCCTAAGGACTTCAAATATAAGTTTATGCGGAGCCGCAGGCGAAATTCTAGTCAAAAATAAAATTATCTTCAGTTATAATGTTTACATTTGTGGGTTCCCTACAATGCGAAGAAATGGCGCTGCCTTGCAGCTTAAGAATGACTAAAAGAATTTCGACGCGGCCGTCAGGGCCGCGGTAGCATAATTTGTCAGTGCATTCGCCCGGGTAGCGAAGGGTGCGGGTTCGAGTCCCGTCTGCTGCCTGGTCCGCGTGGATTTTTATTTAGTTATATTTTCTTTAAAATTATCTTCGTTGATGTTCAATTGTTTATTACTTTTGTTTTTATTCTAATGTTCTTTTTATTTTGTATTTACAGTATGTAGATTATTTATGCAAATATGATTACAACGCCGGCATGATATACGTCATTGATGTGACTGACACTGATTTACTGAAAAACATGACGGCTCTGACAAGTCCCTTTGTTCGTCAGTCGTTGCTAGTGTTTTTTGTGAGTATATTTAAAGATGGTTTCAAATGATTGTGAATGAATTTAGAATTTTATTACATTTTATATCAAAATAAGGAAATAAGGAATACAAATACATATATATATATATAATAGAGCGTGTTTGGGATATTAATTATCATTAAATTTCGTAAAAAAACCTGTGGATGATTATAATAAAAATCCAAAAAGTCTGTTATTTTGATTTTTCACAGATATTAGTACAGATATTTTTCACTAGATATTTTGAGGTTATGTAAAAAAACAAAATTACGTATAATTGTGCTATTAAATTGTTTTCCATGAGAGCTGTAGTTTCAGAAAAATCACAATAAACCATTTCTCCCCTTAAAAAGTTTCCTTCCTACCCTTTCTGTCTTCAAATCTATAACTATATTTCCCTTTTTTTAATGTGTTCTCTTTCTTCTAAAATAGGTTTCAACTTGTTCTGAATTTATGCCGCATTACCTTTTATGTGAGATTCCTCTTCCCTAATCCCCTAAACCAGCCCATACGATCGGCTCAAGGGCTTTCCGGGATGGAGGAGCCCTACCCACTAAAAACTCGGTGGTCACTAAAGATTTCCGTGCATCGCGACCGATAGCAGCCGGTCGCGATCATTCGTTTCTGAATCTATGAAAATATATGGTGCCGTTTCCGAAGTCCGCGTACATGCCATACATTTTCATACCTTGACTAATTGCATCAGCCGCGCGCGTATGTAATCTGTTGCGCGCGGCTGCTATCGGCGGTGATGCATGAAAGTCTACTTTTATTGGGAATCAACCAGGTCAATTATGTTTGTTATCTTTCCAGAAAGCATACGGAGCTCGCGTCCGGGGTCTCCACATTTTGACCAATTCCAAATTAGTGGAAAGTATCATGAATGTATTGAAACCATTGCTGGGTGATAAGGTAGATAGATTGTTAGTGCACAGAAACCAAGAGTCCTTGTTTGAGCACGTGGACAAAGATTTGATGCCCGCAGAGTACGGCGGTAAGGAGGAGCCAATGCATGTACTTGCGGGTAAGTAAACTTTGAATAATCACCAATTTTGAATTGCTTCAGATAGTGAAAGTAGACATAAATCACCATAAGGAGCTAAATCATTTGTGTATCAAAATCAAAATAACGAATTTATGTTTAACATAATCAAAATTAGAAGAGGAGGTATATAAGATAAATTTAATAGTTAAAACGTAAAGAATTATGACCATTTATTAAATGTCCCACCGAACCTGTAATGCGTAGACAGTCAATATAATCACTCTTTTGCCCCGACATTCTCAATTCAAATAAAAGCCTTGTATAAATGTATTAAAATTCTTTTTTAATTTAATTTTTTTATTTTAATTAAGTTTTTATTTAATTTAATAACTTCGCTGCAAGTAGGTTATAAAGATTTTAAAGTATTTTTTTTTATTTATTTTAGAAAAGATGATGGACTTCCTGAGTACAGATGAAGTGATGAAATACATTGAAGAACTTAATGAACATACAGTCGATACAAAAATAAAACCGATACCCGAGGAACACAACGAGTACCTTGGTGTATCTGGTAGCTTCAGAACTCTAGCCGTGGATTAAACAGATGTGACGAAAGTGACAATAAACAAACAACAATTAAACGAAAAGTTACGTCAACGATATAAATTGTAAGATAGATTCTCGATCGATTAGGAGACTATGCCCGTTTAGGAGACTATGACCTGCTATGATCATGAGCCAAGTAAATGCAACGGAAGCTTTCATCACTTTATTCAAGAGATAAACAACAGTATCGATTGTGTTACCTTTTAATGTCAATAGCTATGTCAATGAAAGTTTGATGTAACATATTAAAATAATAAAAATATCTGAATGATTCGATTTAAAGAGGAACAGCTGCGTCTATAAGTCGCGACCTTTGACTTTAACGTTACTGAGCTGCCGGACTAAAAGGCAAACTGTATAGAAATCAAAAGATCACTGTATCGAGTCCAGTCTAATTTATCTGGTACAGTTGAATCGTCCACGAATGTTCCTAACAATAAAAAATATTCGTCATACGACATAAGCGTCTATGAGACGCTGCAACTGTCAGTCAATTCCATCAGTTAAGAATGATTAAAATCAGATGGTAACAACAGTCATCCCATTATGCTTCTACCACACCTGCGTGACAAAGCTTCGGGTAGCTTTGGTACTTTGCGCTAAAATTTTCAGATGGCAACACCACTCATCCCATTATGCTTCTACCTTCTACCACATCTGCGCGACAAAGCTTCGGGTAGCTTTGGTATTATGCACTAAAATTTTGAGTTCGAAACTTCGTCCTGCAGGTGTGGGATAAGCATAAAAGGACATATTGACCCCACAGCTTTGAACCGAATCACCCAGTCATGACTTATCCTAGTCAAACTACAGAAAGTACGAGAGAGCTATCACAATGAGGGAAAGAGTTGTAATTTCTCAAACAAGAGACTCATCGCGTCTTTTAATATAGCCATAGTGTCCATAGCTTATCTGATGATTTATATCTTTGCCATTATATTAGATGGGGTCCTCAGGATTTTTTTTATATTTGAATAATAAAAATATTACTTACCTTAATTTAATACGTTTTCTTTCAAATAATTGTTAAGGCCCGATACGTTTTATGTCTATAAAATTCTCGTGTCGCGTGTGCGTAATTGCACTACTTCGAAACGGCTCGACCGATTTTCGTGAAATTTTATATACATATTCAGTAGGTTTGAGACAGTTAAAGTCATGTGCATATTCAGTAGGTTTGAGAACATCAATTTTTTTTATCCCCCTAAACGTTAAGAGTGGTACACCCTTAAAATTGATTTTTTGACATGTTTTTATGATACATCATACAAAAATACATATAACCCTAAATTTTCACCCTTCTACCACTAACCCCTATTTTTTTATGGCGGTACGAAGTTGGCTGGGACAGCTAGTGTTGATATATACAGTCAGGTCATAAGTATTGTCACACAGTAAAAACATTTCTTTTAGGATGCTGGCCACAAAAAAGTTTATTGAATTCGAATTTCGAATTGTTCATAAAAATATAAATGTATACTTTTTAGAATTTTACTCGTTTTTAAATATGGAGTATGTGTGTTGCAGTTATTGCGTTGCATCGTTGCGGTTACGCGCCAATTCAAATATTTGACATTTTGAAAATTTTGAATATAACCAAAAGATTCGTTTATCGTAGCATCAAACGATACAATGAAGACTCTAGTGTAGATGACAGGTCAAGAAGTGGTTGCCCTCGGTCTGTTAGGACTCCAGCAGTGATAAAAGATGTGTAGGCGCGAATTCAAAAAAAATCCCAAACGTAAGCAGATACTGTTGGCCCTTCAGATGGGGTTTTAAGCAGAACCACGGTGAAAAGGGAGTTAAATTAAGACTTAGGGCTTCGGGCATATCGAAGAAAAACAGGAAATCGTTTGAATGCTCGTCTAATGGACCTGACACTGAAGAGATGCTGCGCTTTGTTGATGCGGTACGCGGGAAAAAAATATCGGGAATTTCTTTTTTCGGATGAAAAAATTTTTACCGTCGAAGAGAGCTACAACAAACTAAACGATAAGGTGTACGCACACAGTAGTGAAGAAGCGAGCAACCGTATTCCACGTGTCCATCGAGGTCATTTTCCATCCTCGCTCATGGTATGGTTGGGAGTTTCTTATTGGGGCTTAACATTTTTGTGAGAAAAGTGTAAAAACGAATGTAGTTGTGTATCAAAATACAGTCCTGACGAACCTTGTGGAATCTGTTTCTCATACCATGTTCAATAACAGGCACTGGGTATTCCAACAATATTCGGCGCCAGATCATAGAGCGAAGAGCAATCAAGACTGAGAAAATCTGTGAGAAATCGACTTCATCCGGCACGAAGACTGGCCCTCCTCCAGTCCAGATTTGAGTCCGTTGGATTACAAGATATGGCAACACTTAGAGGAAAAGGCGTGTTCAAAGCCTCATCCCAATTTGAAGTCTAGTATTTGAACGAATAAAAGTATACTAGACTCTGATTATTTTAGAACAGTTGATTCATGATCTAATAAATTAACTCTTTATGTATTTGAAAAAGTATATATTCAAGTATAACCTTGAGAGTAAAAAAAAAATTCACTATAACATAGCAAGAGTCGCGCGAGTGACACGGAAAAATCTAGTGACATTACCGCGTTTTTCAGTTTCAAATGGATATTTAACCAATTTCTTCAATTAAATATTATATTTTATCAATGGGCCTCAACACTACAATAGTTAAGTAAAGTTTGGAGTGGTACTTTATTCAAGTTGGTCTATTACTCTAGTTATTATTTCAATGTGACCCTTAAAATCATGGGTCCCAGGAATCACCCACTTAAGGTATAACCCTTAGAGTAACACGACCACGTCGGCTGCGTATTTCTCTACGGTATAGCCACATGATTAAGAAGAAACAGAGACAAAGATTGATGCAGTTCGCATCTTCCAATAGAAACGTTCCTCAGTACGCGACAGCTCGCCATAGGTCACACAAACACGTGCAATTGTATGAAGTCTTTATGCCATAGTATATATATAAGCTAAATCAGTATCGCAACTAGGCCATTTTGATGAGCTAAATACCTACTCTTCGATTGAGCGTTAGGGTTGTCACACTTAATTTTTATAAATATCTGTCACCTCTTCACGATTAACAACCAAAACAACCAAAGGATGTATTTAAAAAAAAGCATTTTATTAAGTAATATTAAATCATTTTTACCTGTCAACATCATTAGGAAGTGTAAAAATGTAAACGCCCGTTTTGAAAAAGTCAAATTTAAGCAGTATGTTTAAAAAGTCCGCGGACAGCTCACGCATTACGATTAAAAAAGAGTGACCGCTTGTCTCAACGCGGCACACGAGACTAACTGTCCCCCGAGAACCCCCGAGGGGCCGTGTAGCGACGTGCGTCTGTGGGCGTGTGTTATTTCGAGCGTTTGTATGTAGCTTCCTTACAGTTAGATTTATATTCTGTATTTATGCCTTCTTTACTCATGTGGTGTAGCCTCCCTAGACTGCCTTTCGCCGATGACTTAATAATAAAACAAAATGGGCATAATCGATTTAACTCTTAATAATAATAGAACGTCCACAAGATGTCAGTATGATGGTCAAGGCAAAAAGTAATGCTCCGCCGAGCATACTGGATTGTAGATAGAAGTCGAGATAACTATTTATATCGTATCATATAAACTTGATTTGATTCAGCCAAGAATGAAATGACGCTTTTTAATAGAGAATTAAGTATAATACCTACATGAAACCATGACTCGGGAACAAATTTTTGCTCATCATACAATTATGTAACGCAATGGGCATTCGAACTCGAGACCTTCTTCCAAAAAGCAAGATTACTATAGATGCACCAATCAGTACCAACGGTTTATATATAACAGGTTATAAATGATATTATTTTGCTTTTCTTTTTTGTGTGCCCAGACAAGTTTAATATAATCTGTACTTATATTTTAAAGAGGAAAGATTTGTATGTAAGTATGTTTGTAATGAATTGGCTAAAAAGTAATAAAGCGATTTTTAAAATTCTTTCACCCTTTGAATATTACATTATCACAGATATATATAGTGTATTTTCAAAAAAAGTTAGGGTTCCGTATGAAAACTTCGATAATGTAACCCAACCTGTGTAAAAATACCAAAATAGCCTTATATCGCGTACGCTGCGGAAGTCATTGACAATAGAGCAAAGTCATTTACTAAAGTTATATAGAGGATACCAATATCTACAAAAGAGTCCGCAATACCATATGTCTAACTATTACAGAAAGTACGCAACGAATTTTTTACTTGGAATGGAAGGTTTATAATTATTATGAAGAAAGTCATTGTGTATAATATACGCCCTTTAACAAAAACTATAGTCTACACTACAGCTCTACACCGAAGCAATGCGAGGGCGGGCCACTAGTTTTATATAAAAAAAGACCAAAAAATATTGTTTCATTCTAATAGAAAAATAATCATTGTAGGTACGTGAAAAATATGAATGACTACGTGCATTAGCTATTAAACTAACTAATAAATAATCTACACGGAAGTAGAACTAAATAAGGATGAAGTTACAACGCCAATCTACATAAATCAATTTTATGACTGGTCCTTTGTAATTATCGTCGCTGGTTAATGCTGCAATTGAATTGTTTGATATCACTTATATCATCATTTGTCAAGTGGAAACTGAACGGGTTAATTACGACTTTACAGTATTTTTTATTTTGTAATCCGTTGCCGCCCGAGAATTACTCAAGTCAGTGATATGTTCGGTTACCATAGTCATCATCCATAGAGAGGGCCTACTGGGCCAGAGGCCCAGTCAATTAAAGTTAAACGGCCACATCGCCCTGTTCCATAATGTCTTAAATTGTATATGGCCCGAATTACTCTTGTTGTAATATAAAAATACTTTTTATATTGGCAGCTGAACCCCATAACAGCAGGTCATATGAAATACACTATGAAAATAACTAAGGATACTAACCTTGCTGTTTTAAAATCAGTCAGAAGCCTTTATTTTTTACAGCATACTCCGCTGAGGTAAGTCTACTTGACAGAGAATCAATAATTATGAGAATGAGAGATGATTATAAAACAATTATAACCTGACAAATGACTATTTTAGGGTTCCGTAATCAGTCCTGACAAGGAACCCTTATAGTTTCGTCATGTTCTTCTGTCCGTCCCCAGTGATGGTTAGAGACTATTAGCACTAGACTTTGATTGAGAGATCCGTTTGCGAAATATTGTGTAAGATATAGGAACTCCCTTGGTAATAGTAGTTGGTCACATACATTGACCAACCATGACCCGTAGAAACTCTTAGAGAGGCAGTTAAACGGCCCAATCTCCCTGTTTTACTTTAACTAACTGGGCCTCTGGTCCAGTAAGCCCTCCCTATGGATGATGACTGTGGTAACCTGATATATCAGTGACTTGAGTAATACGACAAATGATCACAAAATAAAAAACCCTGTAAAGTCATAAAATATTTGAGTTTACGCAGTTTTACTTTGTGTTTTAGTTAAGATACATAGCTTGATATTATTTGGGTTTTCTAATTTCCGATATAGAAAATAAAGATTCCTGTTCAAATATATTGTGGTAACTATTCGTACTGAATCCTACACCGCGCACGGCATGACACGCACTTGGCCGATTTTATATAATTATCAATATATTCATGACTTTACATTCGCTTGCTGCAATTAAAAGAAGCAATAGTGATTAACATAACGTCTTCTTCTTCAATGATTATTCAAATTAATGTCAATTAATAACCATTATAATCTTTAATACTTTAATTAGGACTGAGTGCAACTTTGCCTGTATGGATTTCAAATTATTTTGGTCGCTCTATGGGCAGCTATAACTTATTTATTGATAAATTATTATTTGAATGTTTTTAGGGTTCCGTACCTCGAAAGTTAAAAACGGAACCCTTAGAGTATCACTTTGTTGTAAGTCCGTCCGTCCGTCAGTCCGTCTGTCAAGACCCATTTTCTCAGGAATGCGTGGAGGTATCCAGGTCTACTGTCCCTTGGAGCTGTGAAAAAATCAAACTTCTAAACCAACGTAATCAAAAGATACAACCGTATAATTATGCCGCAAAATTCCTCAAATTTTTTCAAAACCCGAAAGGAAATCAAAACCTACAGGATACTTCCCGTGCACTCAGAATCTTGAAATTTGCTACAAAGCAACGTCTTATAGCACAGATAATGCAAAAATTGCGAAAACCGTAAATTTTTAGTAACTTCACTTTTACCTAGTCCGCGTGGAATTGTTCTAGCTTTATATTTTCTTTAGATTTAAACATCAAGCAGTTACATGCTTAAAAATAAAATAAAATTATAACCACTTTTTTTACAATTATTATATACCTACAGGTTTGTACGGCAACCTCGGTGCGGGATGCCAGTTTTTTTAACTTATTGTAAATTCCTATTTTATGAGAATAAAATGCTTCGCAAATATCCTTAAGAAAATACAATAAGAGCAGAAAACTGCCAGAATCTGCTTTTCAAAGCGAACTTGATTAAAACAAATGGTTTAATGTAAGAGTAGGAATACTGTCGAGAAGAAAAGATGGCAACTACAAAAAAGTTTTTTTTATGTTAAAGGGTGGCAAACAAGCATATTATGACCCGCTTGATATTAAACGGCCACCATAGCTTATAGACGCTTGCGATACAAATAATGTCAATATCACTCACGCCGTCGCCTAACCTGTCTCACTTCCCTACCCCGTGGTTCCCTGGAACCTTACTCACCGAAAGAAACACAACTAGGAACTCATAATACAAGCCTTTCTGTACTTACTTTGGGGCTAGGCTAATTGGTATGAGCGAGAGAAATATTTATTAATTTAATTGTTCACAAAAAAAAAAAGAAAGAACTTATCGTAGAGAATAAACAGGATGGACAATCTATATTTATCTAGCTTAGACTAAAACACAACTGCTAATGAGAAAATCAGCCAGTTCGTAGGTATCACTCTCGTGACTATATCGTACATATTTTTCACGCTTGATTTATTCAAATGCATTAAAATAATAATAAGTAATAATAATAATTTTGTTTCGAGTCTAACCACTATGGAAAATTTACCAAACAACCCATTGATAGAGTTTCATGCGGACACATTGCATGCTGTCAGGAAAATTTATAATTTGGATCAGCCGGGAGCTATAAATGAGGCCATCGATACTTTTGAGGCTTGGATTCAAAAACAAAACCATTTCACTAAAAAGGATTTTGGTAAGTACAGCTCTAAAGTTTATATCCTGTTTTTTTATACTCAATTAAAATCTACCTAATATATTCTCGCCATCTCCGTGATTCGAGTTGTTTGGACGTCGATTTTCAAGGTATTGCCTACTCAGAGTCCCGGCGAGGCAAAAGTTTGTGTGGTGAATACGAGCATTGGTACCTAAGTCATGGATGTTTATATATATTTCTAAATATATATGTATTCTATCCATTACCCTACTATCTTATAACACAAGCCTTACAGTGCTTACTATGGGGCTAGGCTAATTGGTGTGTGTGTTAGAAATATGTATTCTTCTTTCTATTTGGTCGGTGATAACATTTTTAAAGTGATGCTTGTGTAGGCACTTTGGATACTTTTATGGTGACTTTTGGACCATTACGTTCAGATCTGATATTATTACATTTCTGTGTATGGAGAGATCATAATAATTATTCTTTTAGGGTTCCGAATTCACCAAGTAACTTTAAGTTATATAATTTCGCAATGTCCTTCCGTCCGTTTTTCCGAAGCCTCGTACTATAAGTAGAGCAATACGCGACCATTAGGGCAGTAGTCATATGCATTCTACAGATGTAGGGGATTAAAATTAGGCAAGTTAAGCCAGTGTTGCTGTAGCTGCAAAGGAGAGCGGGCAAAAATGTATGGAAGCTTGCCTAGGAACCAATAATAACATGAGACATATCATTGGAAAGTTTTTGATTTTTTTGTGTACTTTAACTATTGTCACGGTGAAAAGTCCAAAATGCATTGTGGAAATAGTTTAACGCTAACTCGAACTCCGCGATAGCAACAATTAAAGTACATAAATACTTTATAATGATATATCGTTATTGTTGTAATTGGTTCCTAAGCAAAAATGCCCGTTCTCCTTTGTTCGCTTAGAGCAAATGTGCTATTTTGGTAAACAAACAGAATATTTTATCTAATAAAAATGAGTGGATATTGAATTTTATTAACGTTGATTGCTCAACAAGGTTATTAAAAGGATTAATGACTAATCTTTAGACTCCGTCAAAGGTAGACGATAACCGGTAGAATAATAATTGACCTTAGCACAATTCATGCAAATTATTTATCCAACTAGTAAATGGGTTGTTGAAAAGAAAATATTATTTTGGAGATAAATAGAAAGATCACATTAAACTGAGACAGATTTAGTGCACCTGATTAAAAAAAAGAGGCGACCGCTCACTGCCTACTAATTATAAGTCTATAGCCATCACGTCCTTGTTCTCCAAGATAATAGAGCCCATTGTAAACTGCCTCTGTGGTACCCAGAGAATCACCTGATGATCAGCGGTCACTAGTACGGTTTCTATTGGAGTCGCTTGGCTGGTGATCTCCTAGTATACTTGACTAAGATTGGGCAAAGGCAATCGAGACTAAGGGGGAAGCATTAGCGGTCAGTCTGTACATCGCAAAGGCCTCCCATTGTGTTAAACACAAAGCGGGCTTCCTGAAAAACTGTGCGTTTCTATAACCAGCTTTCTTGCAGATAAGAGCATCAAGGTCGTAGTCGACGGTGCATGCTCTGATCCCAAATCCGTGAACGTTGGTGTTCCACAAGGCTATGTGCTATTGCCTACGCTGTTTCTCCTTCATATTATCAATGATATACTTCAAATTGATTAAAAAAAAAATAATAAATGATTTACCTAGTAGAAAAAAAATCCTTGTTACGATATTTATGGCAAGACTTTGTATTAAAATACAATGACAGTTACTCCGTTATGGGTTTCAGATTTTGATTACAAATTTAGGATAGGATTTACCTAATCAATGTAGTAAATTATATTTCCATAACATGATTGATGGAAAAATATGTTTAATTTAATAACTATAATGGCATATAGTTACGTTAACTGTAAACGCATTATAATAGGCTCATGGAAAAAGTTGTAAACAAAGATGACGGCGCCAATGTACCGTGACGATTGGGTCATTACGTTAAGGTCATACTGCAGTAACACGCAATACATATTTTCATTATGATTAATCTGTAAGTGTAATTAAGCTGCAAGCTTCGATTATTACACCCCACTTTTTGCTAAGAGCCCTCTAATAGAGAGATAAGAACTGAAAATCAAATTCAAATTCTTTATTGCATAGTCACATGGTTAAAAGATGACAATTTAGAAATATATTATAATAGTACATGTGACACCCTGCAAGGGTGTTTGCAATTTATTTATACATAAACATAATTAATAATAATATTTAATACAATTATATCCGTTGAACAAGAACGTTTAAATTTATTTTAAGCATTTAACTGCTAGATTTATAATTGTAAAGTAATTATTATTATTATTTTTACTAGAAAAAAAAAAACAAAAATATAATGATTCCAAATATATGATAACATTTAGATATTATTAGAGTGTACAACTATTATATTAACTAGAATTTTATTCAAGTATTAATTATATTATTATTAATTTGTTACATTATTATTAATATTTATTATATTATAAAAAATTGTCATTAAAATATTCAGATATATTATAGTAACTTTTATTTATTAGAAAATTTTTAAGCTGTTTTTCAAATATTTTATTTTCAGTTGTAAATTTTAAACTATTTGGTAGATGGTTGTATATTTTTATTAACATTGCATGCGGAGCAGATGAATACATCTTTAATGTCGTATTAGGTAATTTAAGTTTATTTTGGTATCGATTATTGCGTCTAACTTTTTTCACAGGTGAGTATAATTCATAATGTTTTTTTAATAAACTTACAGGCTTCAAATATATAAATGCAAGTGAGGGTCAAAATATTTAATCGAATAAAATATGGTTTACAAGACTCCATTTGATCTATATTTGTTATGATCCTCAGACACCGCTTCTGAAGTACGAAAATTTCCTGAATACCAGAACAATTTCCCCATAGTATAATTCCGTAAGATAGTCTGGAGTGTGCGTAAGCATAATATGCTGCCAGTGCAGTTTTCTGACAAGTAACTTTTTTTGATTGTCGAAGGGCATAGATAAAGGTCGATAATTTATTTGACAACATTTGTATATGGTGTTTCCAGGTAATATGTGTATCAATTTCTATTCCCAATAAAGTAGTATTTTGGACAGTTTCTATTTTAGTTGATTTATATGTATAGTTTAAATGTAATGGTGCTTTTTGATACGGCTTAAACTGAAGTAGTTTAGTTTTTTTAAGGTTTAACTGAAGGTTGTTTTTATTTAACCAGTCTGTAGTATCATCTAATATAGCGTTAAGGTCTTTTTTTAGAGATTCAGTATCTTTACAAGTTAGTATTATGGATATGTCATCCGCGAAAAAATACGCTGAAATGACCTATATATGGCGGCAGATCGTTTATGTAGACCAGGAAGAGAATGCATCCCAACACGCTTCCCTGTGGGATAGAACCCGTCAGGAACGCTCGTTCGGATCTTATAAGTTCTATTATACCAGTAGTAAAGTTTGTGCTTTCTATTTCTATGTATTGAGAGCGATTTTCAAGATATGAATGTAACCAATCGTGCGCTTTTCCTCGTATTCCTAGTCTATAGAGTTTTTGCAATAGGATTTTATAATTAACTCTGTCATAGGCTTTGCTCATGTCAAGCAATAGACCAATAGCATACTCTTTGTTATTTATCGCTTTTAATATTTTTTGTATGAATTTGTAAATGGCCAAAGTAGTAGATCGGTTTTTTCGAAAGCCGTATTGACTATCGTGTAGAATTTTAAACTTTTCAAAGAAGCTATAAAGCCGGTTTGTCATTGCTGTCTCTATAATTTTTGCAAATGTAGGTAGTAAAGCTATAGGACGATAGTTAGACGAATCAGTCCTGTCTCCTTTTTTATGAATAGGTCTAACTAAGGATATTTTCAAGGCATCTGGAAAAATGCCTTCCCGGAATGATTGGTTGATTAGTTTCGTTATTGGTATGATCAACTCACTTGCACAATTTTTAACTAAGCGGGGGGGGGGGGGGGGGGGGATTTCATCGATACCAAAAGAGATTTTAGGTTTGTGATTTTTTAAGATTTTAAATGTTATAATTTTTATTATTTTTAAAGCATGTAACTGCTTGATGTTTAAATCTAAAGAAAATATAACTAGAAAAATTCCACGCGGACCAGGCAGCAGACGGGACTCGAACCCGCACCCTTCGCAATCCAAATCCCTTCAATTGTGGGTTTACCTATAATGCGAAGAGATGGCGCTGCCTTGCAGCTTAAGAATAGCTAGAAGGAATTTCGACGCGGTCCGTGAGGGCCGCGGTAGCATAATTGGTCAGTGCATTCGCCCGGATTGCGAAGGGTGCGGGTTCGAGTCCCGTCTGCTGCCTGGTCCGCGTGGAATTTTTTCTAGTTATATTTTCTTTAGATTTTAAATGTTTCTTTATGTTCCACATCATGTAAGTATAGAGTATGTATAGTATTACTAGGAACTCTAGGACTTTCAGGCGTACAAGAATCTACTTTGTTGTTACTGACTGCTGTAAAATATGTATTGAATATACTATTACTTTTGGATCATAAACAAAACATTTATTTTGTTTTAGAATTATATTTTGTTTGATTTTTCGGGTTGCTTGATTTGTTTCTTTTTTAATTATTTGCCACATAGCTCGACTTTTGTTATTGGAATTTTCGTATTTGTTTATATTATATAATTTTTTAGACATTTGAAAAGCTTTTTTAAGGGTTTTAGTATATGTTTTATAGTAATTATTTAAAATTTCACTTTTTGCGTGAGTTTTAAGTATTTTTTAATAATCTTTTATGTTTGCTTGATATTTTTAACCCTGAAGTTATATATATATATATTTTTTTGTTTGTTATTTAATTTAATTTCTTTTTTCGGAATACACATATTTAATATTTTTTGAATAATTTTATTGAAGGCATTGTAATTTTCGTTTATATTGTTTTCTATTTTTAGTATATCTATCCAGTTGACTTTTTGTAGTTCAATTTTAAATTTATTCATGTTGGTGTTGCTAAATATCCGTTTAACTGTCTTAAATTGTTTTGAGGTTTTCGTTCCCAAAGATGTGCAAAAAAGAACTCCTTTATGATCAGAAAAACCAAACTCTTGTACTTTTAACATGTTATTTTGATTTGAAAAATTTATAAATACTAAGTCTATACATGAGGATTCTCTAGTAGGTTCTGTAACTATTTGTTGAAAGTTATATGTTAACATGAGGTTTTTAAGAATATTTTTTGTAGAATTAGCTGTTAGAAAATTTACATTAAAGTCACCACCTATTATTACTGATTTATTTTTATCTTTTACCGATAACAACTTTAAGACATCATCCAGTCTGTTCATGAATATTTCTTTATTACGCTTAGTATTAGGCAAATATAAGTTAATTATTATTAAGCTAGCTCCAGTAATTTCTATTGCACTTATCTCTAATACATTTTCTACAGATAATTGTTCTATATCTTCTCTTCGTATTGTTTCTATATCTTCTTTGACTAGTATACATACTCCTCCTCCTTCAGTTTCTCGTCGTGTTCGGCGACAAAAATAGGATCTGATATAGTAGCCATCTATATTGAAAATATCCAGTCTTTCTTTATTTAGCCAAGTTTCAGTGATGCAGATAGTTTGTATATGTTTATTTTCATTAAGAAATTCTTCAAGTAAATGCTTTTTATTATTTATACTTTGCATATTTTGATAAACAATACATAATTTACTTTCGAAAGGAGTGGTTTTTACTGGTGATACACTGCTGTTCACTTGTGTTGGGATGACTTATAATGGCATCTTTGTGGAGTATTTTTTCCGGTTTTCGACTGTTCCGATCCATGTTACCATTGGACTCTCTACCATTGATGATGAGTTTGTTGTTCCTGATGATCGCGTGCTGACCGCTTTTCCTGGCAAGTTGGAGTGCTTCTCTTAGCTTTTTTCTTTCTTTTAGGACCTCTGCACTTAGGTATTCACTAACACCCAATCCAACTTCTCTGAATAATGAACAATTTTCGAGGAGTATGAACTTTCTAATTCTTTTACCTGACAGTTCAATTTTTAGTGGAGTACGAAATCCTTTTTTTCCAATAAATGTAATTTCTTCTATATGTTGATATATGTTTATATTTAAAATGTCATGAAATATATATGAGATACGTTGGATAAGATCGTCTTCTGTCTCATTATAATGTAAAGTTAATCCGTGCAACACTATATACTTTCCGTATTCATCTGAATTTCCTGTATGAGGCGAAAAACTTAACTTCATTTCACAAAATTCTTGATTTATTTTATTGTTTTCTTCTTGCAGTTTGTAACATTCATATTTTAATGTATCAATTTTTTGTTCAAGACTCTGTATGTTTTCTTCAATAACTGTATGTTTGGTTTCGATATTTTTTATGTTGCCTCTCAGTTCTGTTTTGAAATCGTTTAATGTATTTTCTACCTCTTTTTGAATTATTTGTTGTATGGCAAGCAGGATGGACTCATTGTTTTTTAAAAGGTTTTTTTGTATGAGAGAATTTATATGATCTAGGATAGATTGCTCTCCATCTTTCTGTTGATGTTTGAAAGTAGACACATTATTTCCAAGATCCGGAATCTCAGAAGAATCATCCAATAAAATAGTATTTCCTTGTGGTGAAGATATTGAGTCGTCACAGACTGGTGATATTGCTTGACGCCTGTTTTGCTTATTTTTAACGTTTCGAGCAAATTTGCTGCTAAAACCCATGTCTTCATCGATGTTGCGGATGGGAGTATTGATATTATTTAATTTCGGAGTTTTAGAGCAACACAGAGGACATTTCCATTTCTTTTTGTGTTCTATAGACATTGTGTTTATAAATCTTTTTTCGGATACGTTGGCACAATCAATATCATATGGTTGATTACAAAGACAGCATATCAAAAAGTATCGATTTGGTATTTGTTGTTTACAATCAGCACAGATCGTTTTTGTACTTGCCATTTTTTTTGTTTTTGAGGGTAGATAATCGGTAAACAAAAGCTTTGAAAAATAAATCGCATAGAACTTTTCAGTCACTGCACTTTTCACACCACTGATTTTACTGTTAGTAAGGATATTTTATGACCTTCAAAATGATATATGAATTACTTTATTTGTGAAATTTTCAACTACCAAAACGATTTAAAACTCAGGAGCAAACACTAGTTGTAATGATATTCTTTATAATGTGTAAACTGTATATGTTATTGTGTAAAAAAAGACACTCTCGTTGTTTGTACGCTTAGATATTTTTAACTACCAAACAGATTTTAATGCAGTGTCAGCAATAGATAAACCCGGAAAGTTTTGCGACTATGATGAATGTTTTGACGCGCTCACACGTGAAACTTCATATTCGAAATTCGAAATGAGTTCTAAATTTAAAATAAAAAAAACATTTATTTATATAAATATACAGTGGTGGTCATTCATTCATTCATTCATAAGATATGTTTGTATTTCTTTATAGAAAGTACTGTTACTGGCTGCTTGGACGTTTAAAAAAAACATCCATAGCTGGGTCTTTTCTTGAAATTGGAGAATAACATTTCTTTTTTGTTTTTTTTTCTTTTATTTTGGCGGCAATTCAAATTTTAATCTGAATTTTATTTTGTTCAAAATTTACAAAAATAAAAGTTGTGAGGCGTCAACTAGGCAAATAATTGTAAATTTAGATATAGATCATAAGTGGGCGTACAGAAGAATAACTGAGCATTGAAATTGTTCTGTTCAGAAAGTTTTTAATGCAATTGATCATTATAAAACACATGGAACTGTTGAAATTGTTCTTAGAAAGGCTCGGTCAAGACAAAACCTCTCCCAGAGACGATACGCTAATCGTTCATGTTGCTAAAAAAGACCCTCGCAAAAGCTTGAACCCGATTTAAAATGAAGTTTTTTCGCCTGATGACCCGAGAAACACCTCGTCAAAACTGATACCCCGAAGATTAGTGGAAACTAAATTTTTTGGAAGAATCTCTCGATATTGCGCCGCTTCTTACCAAGCAACACTAAGAGAAGCGATTATTATTCGCTAAAAAATATGTTGATTGGACGGTACGAGAATGAATAAAAGTGTAATTTTCAGATAAAACTATGATAAATTCCGATGGAAAGTGCTATGTTAGACGTCCTGTAAACAATGCTTTTAATTATAAAAACACAAGGATTATAGTCAAGCATAGTTGCGGTAACATTAAAGTTTGGTAGTATTATTCCGGAGTTGGACCCGTTCGGAATATTGAAGGTACATTACAAGGGATCAATGGTAATACAAAAATATTTTAGAGTACACAATAATTCCCTACTCGGACGATCATTTGCCTGTAACCCGGATCTTTTAGCATGACAATGACCCTAAACATACAGCCGATAGCGTCAAATGTTTCCTGAACGAACAGCATATATCCGTTTTAGACTGGCCAGCAAAAAGTTCGGATTGAATCCCGATAGAAAATCTAATCAATTTCATAGAGATTTATAGAAACTAGTAGTGTCGCCTGCAGTCTGCAGCTGCGGTCTGCGGTTCAGTTCTGACTTGTACTTTTAATTTTTAGTGTTCAATTGTAATTGTCGTAATAAACAGGCTTTTTTTCATTTCACAGACCGAGATTATTTAGAGAGGACAATCATAAGGTCAAAAGGATCAGTTGAACGTGCGAAAGAACATCTCGATAAGACCTGTACATCAAGAACACTCGTACCACACTTCTTCCTAAAATGCGACGTCAGAGACCCTATTATAGCAAATGCGTAATATAATTTTATTACTTTGCCATAATTTTTGGTTTATCTTTAGCGCGTCACATTACATTTTTTATCATTATTGAAAAAGTTAGACCTTGTCGTCAAGCATTGGTGGTTAAGTGGTAGAAAGCTCTCCTGTTACGCAGGCGGCCCGGGTTCGATTCCTAACCGAGGAATGGTTCTTGTTTTCTTTTTTTATAAGCCAGAAAAAAATAGGCGATTTAAACACTGACCCCCTTATTAATAAACGAAGATTAAGCGTAGACTAATCATAATCAAAATCATTTACTCAGTTTAGGCTGTTACAAGCACATATGAATATCTAGAAGCTACGCCATCGGTTCGTAAATCTACGGTGGGAGACCTTGTACTGAGAAGAACCGGCAAGAAACTCAGCAAGGGCTGTTTTTTTCTCCCTGTTTTATCATTTACAGAGTCGTCAAGTTGAAAAATGACTTCAGAGATGATTCATGAAGTCACCTTTCATTACATAATGTGAAATTATACATTAATTGTTCACCTGCATTTTGATTGTTACGCACTAGTTACGCCATCTTTATCACTCAAATGCAATTTGTCATTCAATAGACAGAGACAAAACATGGAGTAACTAATCCAAGCGTGATCTTCGTTTATTAATAAGAGGGTTAGAATATTGCTCTTGCATCGTGGTTTCACAAAACCTCACTCACATTTTTATTTAGTCAAACGTTTCATTCATTATCATTGTCATCATCAGCCGATAGACGCCCTCTGCTGGACACAGCCATCCAATTGATATCTCAGGAAATGGGCCAGCGCTTTATTGCGTCAAATCATTTAATATAAGGTTTACATCATCATCATCATTCAGCCATACCACACCCACTGCTACCCTTCTTATGCAAACGCAGTACTTGCAGAGTAGCGGTTTCCAGATAAACGCGATAAACATATTTCTTGATATCTAATCAAGAAATCTCTGTTAAATTACTTTTAAGGGGTAAACTAAGAATAGTTAAAAAAAACGAGCTTCCTATTGAGATTTTTTTTCTTTACTTAAATCAATCAATCAAATCATTTATTCGTTGTCATCGGTAACAATAAATTGTTAAAATTTATATAAACGTGCCTCTGTGACATGCTTATCATCATATAAATATCATTTTAAATACAATAAAAACACAATCGGCGAGGAGCTCGATGGCGCAAGTGGTAAACGCGTTCGGCTGCGATCGTTGAACTTAAGCAACTTTCGCAGTGGTCGGTCATTGGATGGGTGACCAAAAATTTACTATCTCGAGCCCCTCCGTGCTTCGGAAGGCACGTAAAGCCGTTGGTCCAGCCTGCATCTGCTGCAGTCGTTAGCACCCACCAATCCACGCTGAGCCCGCGTGGTGGGTCATGGCCCAATCTCCCTATTCCATCCATAGGGAAGGCCTGTTCCCTAGAAGTGGAGATATTAATAGGCTGATGATGATGATGATGAAAATCATAATCATATAAGAATCAATACATTAATGTTTTATACATATCTTTAATATAAAACATCTATAATTCAGTATGCGTTCAAAATTCATTGGCATGATAATAACATTTATCCACTAACACATTAGTCAGTATTCTTTTAAATTGTATTTATATTGTGATATTTAATAATGTCAGGTAAATTATTATATAATTTAGGAGCTATTTCTACAACACTTCATAGTATTTCATAAGAGTGCGGATTGGCGGCTGCTAACGACTGCAGATGCAAATTTCTCTACTTGTGATATCATTTTTGCAAAAAATTGATTGATTACTGCAAGTAATTTTAGCAGGGTAGGGCACTGTTAGATCCAGAGCTGTCCGCATCCAGCGGTTTCCCGTGACCCCTATATAAAGGTGCTGTCCTCGTACCTCGTATCATGTAGAGATACTGCTAAATCTCGAACGTCAGAGTTCTCATACGTCTGGCAACCCCACGCGGCGCGGCCTTGTCCGCGACAACACAGATCGTGGGACAGCGCCTTTAGATTGTTGGAAAGTCTTCATTCAGCATAAATGTATATCTACAGTATTTAAGATACTTTCCCTCCATGTTTTAAAATCGTGGGATATTCCTTTATATTGTAATAATTTTCCTATTGCTAAACTTCTTCCCTTTTCGGTTTTGTTACGAATCTCATAAAAATTATTAAAACATCGCATTGATTTTGCAGAGTAGAGGCGTTTATGCCAAAACTGACGGATGACTACTACCGCGTTTACATGGCATACAATTCGATACAAGAATACACTTCGGAACTTTTCACTGCCTTTTATAAACGATGGGCTTATGTGAGTACCTACCTTAAGTTCATACACGTCCTTCACTTCTTGAACAAGCCTTGACAGTAAAAAAATCATAGAAACTTTTTCCTACAATAAAGTTTTAAATAATAATAAATAAATTGTAAAGAGTTTTTAATTTAAAAGGAATAGGGAAACCTGTACTAATGTTATACCTACTAAAACATAAAGAATTTTATAAATGAAATATTGAACACGATATCTTATTAATATTCTGTGATGGAAGTGTTTCAACCTTATGTAGATAATTGAACTCTACAAATGGATTTTTTTTTAACAAAATTTGATTGTCCCATGATTAATATATCACATTAATCATTTAAATTGGTCCACGCGTTTGATCTCTAGTGTACCACAAGGAACATACATACATACATATATAGACTGTTAAACACTATATCCTGTCTGCGCGTCGCGCTACACGCTCTTGCATTGCGCAGTCAGGTAAAAAGGCAAAGGATGTTTTAATATTGGCAAGAAGCTGTTTCAGAATCTTTAAAAGCGGTTTTAAAGCATGGGTGTAGATAAAATAACTTTTTAATCATTATGTACACTTGTATTTTGTTTATTTAATCTACAAAGTCATGGTATTAGGCTGAAAGTGAAAGAAGAGGCGCCCTCATTTGTAGTTTAAACTTAATTTCTATTCCCGCACTTCCCATACAATTTTCTGCCGATCGTGTTTGTTTTCGATGTTCAACTAAAAGTTTTGAAAATTTCTTCTTTGTTACCTAGTTATTGTTTTTATTTCAATTGTTCCTATGAGTGAAGATAAAGCAGTGTATACCCTAAATTATATGAAACTGCAACTGCCACTTAAGGTATTAAAACACTCGAGTCAACCTATTATTGGATTCGGCTTCGCCTCACGCTCGTGTTTTAATACCCCTTCTTATATGACAGTCGTTTAAACTACTAATAGATATTTTTTTTATTTATATAGAGAATGGAATACATCTGTGCCCATGATTACGCATGCGGCCTAATTATGGTGTTAGATTTTCGAAACACAAACCTTTTGGAGTTTGTTAAACATATGCATATTGGTGATTTCGCGCACGCTTTTAATCTAGTACTGGTGAGTTATTTTTCAATATTACTCTATTAATGTTTTTTTTTTATATTATTATAATATAAATATAAAGCACCTAGGTGCTACATAGTTAGGTAGAAGTGTTTTCTGCAAAAAAAACGTGTATAATTTTCAAAAAATGATAATTTAGAACAACAGTTTCTTAATGATTAATCTTGACGACGACCATAGAAGAACAATCCTGCGCAGTAGCAATTTTGAATACTAAAATGTCACTGCTTTACTATAGAAGAACTTTGCCGCTACCTTTACTTACCGATAAACTGTTAGAAGTTCATCTTATAATGATATCTAATAATGATGAAAAAAAAAATTAAAACTAACTGCGGGCTAATGTCTAAGTATGTGGCGACATACACGTGTTTTGGTATGTGGCCGCCCATTGGAAAAGAGAGGGAAACCGTGGCGAAGGCGGGTCTGAATGCGGACGTAGTGATGGCTTGCGGAATTTTCGAATACATGGCCTGGTTGTTATTTCGATTTCACAACCCATCGCTGAGGACGAAACACCGTGGGGTTTTAGTCGGTAGGCCCGTGCCTACTGCCTGGCGGAAATTTTGTTATCGTCTATCGGTGGGCAGGGTCCGACATAACGCGCTCACCTTGTTAAGTGAGCACTACGCATTATAAATTTCAAATTTAAAAAAAAAAGTTTGGGTTAGTTAGGTTTCTAGTTTTTGCAATAAGTTTATTAAAAATGTATAAAATAGTTTCTTAACAAATTTTACTTTATATAATAAGTAACATTTATAGAACATTCTTGCTAAAAATTAAAACTTTGTTCCAGGGTGGTTATGGTTTCAGATTAAAAGGTTTGTACTTAATGACATCTTCAAAGTTTGTTGATTCGTTTGTGTCTATATTGAAACAAGTACTGAGTGCAAAAATCGGCCAACGTATTCGTGTCATGCATCACGTGGAAGATTTGTACGAATATATCGACAAGAAGCTTTTACCAAAAGAGTATGGTGGTGAGGAATTATCCTTAAAGGAACAGCATGGTAAGTAAATTCCTGCGATTACTGTTTAGATTGCACTAATTAAAAAATATATAATAGGAAACTATTAGTCCAAATAATGGTCGTAGCAGGTATATCAATTCTGAAAGGTCAAATTCTCTAAAAACTCTATAAAAATAAAAAAAATATCTATTAGTACTTTAAACGACTGTCATATAAGAAGGGGTATTAAAACACGAGCGTGAGGCGAAGCCGAATCCGATAATAGGTTGACTCGAGTGTTTTAATACCTTAAAGTTGCCGTATAAAATCGAGCCGTTCAGTATTCTTAGTATGAAACTTCCCTTCCCTGTGTTGCAAAGCTAAAAGCCCTTATTTCAAATAATTCAATGGCGTAAATGATAATATTTTATTTACAGAAAAATGGTTGAATGTATTAGGCTCAGAGGATTATGACAAATATTTGACAAACATCTATGAGGCCAAAACCATTGAGAAGCTCAGACTCAAAGATGGCTCAGCAGATGATCAGTTGGGAATTGCTGGAACATTTAGAACATTGAAAGTGGACTGAATATTTTTCTTTCGTGTTTATTGCGTGAACCTTATTGTAATTATTTTAGTTAATGCATGTCGTTGCCGTTGCAACATTATGCTAAGGTGGGGCGTTATAGTCGATATACTTCTGTCTCGTGTTTATGTAGAAACCTTATTGCAACTTTGTTAATTAATGTATGACGTTAGTAAATGTTTTGCTTTCTTTCTTTTTCTCGATGGTACTTTGTTTCAAACTTCTTGATTGTAATTTAAAAAAGTCATGTTTTAAACTTGTGTAACTTATTGTATCTCTATTGACATCAAACAGTTAATGAAGCTGAATTAAGCTTATACTATGTAACTGGCTCTAAAAATATAAATAGCAGAGAAATTTTATTTGCAACTCCACCAGTTAATAGTACTAGTGCAATACTTAGATTATTTTTAAAATTATGAATTATTATTAGTTGTAGCTTAAGAGGTTAAAAAATAGATTTTTTTTAATGACATATATCATGGAGATGGGGCAAATAATTACAATTGTTATTAACTAAGTATAAGAAATACACTAAAAGTTTGGTCTAAAAAGTGTTTTTATTTATCTCTTGTGTAAGCATATTGTATCATTTTAAAGTATGGGGTTTAATGTGATATGGATATCTTAATAAAGATACTTTAAAATTATCTTAATAGATTTAATATTTCTCAAACATATTAGAAAATGCTTATTAACTTATGCTTCTATGGAAACACTATAAAATAATGTTCCAAGGCATACTTCATAGCAATCGGAACAAAATTTTTGTTACAAATTTATACTTCAGAGTATATAAAAAGAGTAAAGCTTGAGTTAGCACTGTATAATGTAAAAATTCCCACGACATAAAAAGCACTTATACGAGATAAAATTAAACGAAGTGAAGAAAATGAAATCTATTTGAGTTCTGGAGATGTAAGTCGCGCGGCTTGATTAATTTCGTTGAAATAATAATGCCCATTTAAAAGGATAATATTAGCTACTGTTAAAAGAAATGGATTTCAGTGAATTTCAAGTGTCACATAACATGCCTTGTAAGGCCTTGTTTTTTACAATAATGAAATTAATTCAATAACAGAAATCGTTTATCAAAACAAACTACATCAACACATTATTCGTTTATTTTATGAATAAAATGACCATGCAAATAAAGATACTTTCTTGATAAAATTTCTTTCGAAAAATAATTATTTGAAAAATACCTCCACAATGAACCTTTATTGGAACTTGGATACTTTATCATATTTTTAAGCATTTAACTGCAGAGGTTTCAAAGATTCTTTTTTACTAGAAATAATTCCACGCGGTCCAGGCAGCAGACGAAACTCAAACTAGCACCCTCTGCTATCTTGGTGGATGCAGTGACCAATTGTGCTTCCGCGAAATTCATTGCCGTGTCGAATTTCTTCTAGTATTTCTTAAGCTGCTGGGCAGCGCCATATCATCTCATTGTAAGTTACCCACAATGTCAAACGAATATCGTCACAACTATTAAACATTTGCAAGAAGAAATAACAAATTGTAGTGCATTATAGTTATTTAAATTTAAGCATTTAAGAGCTGACGTTAAATTTAGAACTCAACAAAAAAATCTATGTCTACATAAAAGTAGTAAAATTCTTTGTGCAAAAATATAGTAGTACTTTATTGCATAAAAAATACAACAAAAAGTTACGTGCCTAACCATTGTGCCGATGTCGTTTAATGTAGCGAATGACCTCTTTTGTAAAGTTTTTAATAATTTTTTTTTCTAACCAGCGCGTTCCATTTTTGTACTACAAGGCAACATTATTTGATTCCCACACTTAACACGAAATTTATGTGCGACTATTACTATTTGCTATGACACCTCTTTAGTGTTTAAAGCTAGAAGAGGAAATCGTTGTTAAATTGTGTTTTCTCTGAAGTCCTACATTGGCTTACGGTAACAATACATTTATGAAAATATAATATATGTAAGGAAAAACTGTGACGCATTTGCAAAAAAAAAAAGTCAAACTCATAACTTTAACACGAGAATTAAGAACAAACTTGCCGTTCCATGTTTCAGACTCCAAAATTCAAGAGGTTCATTTCTGGGTTCTAGTATTGCACTGTTTTATAAAGTTCCCCAAGTTCTGTTCAAGTTCTGATTGAGCTTCCACTGACCAAATTAAAATCTCAGATCAAGAATACTCTATGACGATTATCTAAATGATTGCAGTGCAAGGACATAGTGTTTCTTGTAATATGTTATTTAATGGGTATTAGTCATTTTACATAACAGTAATGTGGTATCTAATGCCGTCTACCTATTAACTAAATATGTAAAGTTAACTATAAAACTTATTGTATAATATATATATAAACTATCTTTATTCTAAATAATTTAACGGAAGGTGACTTTGGAAGTATCTTCTAAATATTTTTTCAACTTACAGACTCTGTATGCATAATTAATAATACAGAGAGAAAAAAACAGCCCTTCTGTGTTCGTGTTATTTGAATGAAATTTATTCTAAAATATATGCAGACAGATATTATCATATCAGTTCCAACAAGTGTATTTGAACTACTACCAATTCCAACTGAGCCGCAGATGTGTGATAAATAGCAAATGGGAGTGTCGTGGCACACTCGGTTGGAACAAAGTTAATAATAAACCTAAGTACACAACTACACAGTACGCTACGAAACAACTGACGGTCACAAAAATCAAACACTTTTTTCAGCTAGCCCCTAACCGCGAAGTCCGTATCGTCCGAAAGGAACTTAGTTCCAAAATCCGTTAAAACGGTTCCGATTCTTTTTGAGTAGTACTTACTATTGAGGAGCTGGCGAACAAAACGGTATAATTACCCATATGGTCTAACTACTTTTTTTACAGTCCGGAGGTTCCGGGCCCGTTGAATTTGAATCTCAAATAATTTTCAATCAAAACCATCTAAAACAGTGTCAAAATTTCTAAAATTTATGAATTAAAACCCATGCCAAAATCTCACTGTAAGTATGTCGTTCAGTTTTATACAGCTCCTGTAAAATTTTATTTTATGTAATTATACCGTTTTGTTCGCCAGCTCCTCATATACATTTGACTCACATCATATTGTATGGACATGTAAATAACGAAAATAAATTTATAGGAAAATAATATAAATAAAAACATTCTAACCAAAATTAAAACATTTTTTCTGCGCTTGAATCTTAAGTAAGGTAATAAAGAAAGTAAACAACATTTGAAGTCGGTGCCACAATCAATTTATTTTTGTTTAGACAATTTGTGAATAATGTACTCCACTCCAAACACTGAATTGACACTTTTCTGAAAGCTGAAAAAATTGTGATCATTTAAAAAAACACGCTTGCGCAAAACTAACACAATCTCAGAAATAAAAGGGCTTTAGTAACAATAATTTTTATTTTTTCTATTTTTTCCGAACTTCGCTGTAAATTATTGGAAAATAACTAAATAAAATTTGGCGTACAAATTAGTATTAAGAATAACCAGTTTCATGAGCTTTCCAAAATGGAAAAAAATACTAACTTTCTCAGCTCTTTTTATTAAAATCAGCAAAAGGGTGCTATAGGGCAAAGTTTTGATTTGTAAATTGAAATACTGTCATAATGGTGTCGCGTTTGGCATAATTCATGATGATGATTATTATTATTATCACAATTTTTTTATCTTTCAGAAATTCAATGTTTAGAGTGGAGTAGTTTATTCACAAATAATGGTTTTTGGCAGCAAGTCAGAGAAATCTAAAAAAACAAACAACCGTCACAACTCGGTAACGGTTTTGCCTCTAGTTCACCGGACTTAATTTGTTGCTAATGATTTTTAGTATAATCCCTTTCAAGGAATAGGTCAACTTTTCCAGACAGTCTGTATATAAAGAAACAATATTAAATTTGTTCACGATTCATGAAAATATCGCTCAGCATAAAAAAATAATACATAATTAATTATATTATGACGGATACGGTGCCTTCACAGGGTTCATATTTTGGTACAGGAAATACCTAATAAAAAAATGTAAAAAAATCACATGAATGCAATAAATACTTTTGGTTTGTTTTGGATATAGTAGTACCTCCTCATTTTTTTAAAAGTCAAAAATTGAAAATACTCCAGTAATTAACCCTGTTCTTCTGCTTTAAAAATATTTGGTGTTTATGTAAATTATTTATTATATTTTTTTTTAATAAATCAATATTTTTTATAAATTAATATGGCTAACGCATAAAAGACTTTAGAAGACACTAGCTGGCTACTAAAGAACAATAGGTAGTTCTAATATCATTGCAACATTTTTTTTATTCAATCAATGCAGTTTCGTAATGTTTATTGTTTAAAGCTACAATCTAGGTGTCACAGTCACCATTAGCTTATTCTCTTCAATCCTGTCAAGGATTAATCCTTTATCGGATTAATTGGATTTGTAATTAGATACTCAATTTAAAGGCTAACCGCATATAAACATACTTGCCAGTTTGAAACAGACTATCGCTTATATCAGGTGTTAAGATCAGTTAAATTCAGAATTTTATATTGCTGCGACCTTATTTGTTGTGGAAGAAGAATGGAAGTCTTAAAGGAAAACCCTTTGCTGGATTTCCACCCTGATACTCTGGAGGCGGTCAGAAAATTATATAACTTGGACAAGCCAGGAGTCATGCGAGAGGCTATCGACATTTTAGATTCTTGGATTAAACAACAGAACCATTTCACTAAAAAGGATTTTAGTAAGTACCTACTTACCTATATTATTAATGTTTACGCAAATAGTGAAAGCTTTAATATCATAAATTACAACTGGTTGCCCGTGACTTTGTCTGCGTGGAAAATTTTGTTTTCTCATACAAACTTCTATTCTCTTTTTCACCTCCTTTTTTACATAGTTATTTCTAGGATAAAAACTATCGTTTGTCCTTTCCCGGGACGCAAACTATATCAGAACCAATTTTCATCTAAATCGGTTCAAGTAACCGACACACACACTTTCGTATTTATAATATTAGTATGGATAGACATCAAGTGTTTTTGTGTTCACTTTTAATTATCTACGTGTTTGCATTATTAATTTGCTTATATCTCTCAATTAGCTAAAACATAAATTTTAATTATTCAAACCGTATTATATATATATATATATATTATATTACTTCTTGAGACAAAATATCAATCGCTTTAACAAATGACGGTTTAGCTTTAAGTAAAGCAGTTTTTTGTTCTCTTCACTCAAATTACACATTTAGTAAAATAAAATTAGTTTTTTTTTAAACAAAACTGTAAAACAATTCCATATAAAAAAACGATAGCACTTCGCTATTAAAAGTATGACTTTTGAAGTCAACTCTACTATATTTGGAGTTCGTGTCAAGGCGATAATCTTAAAATTTAAGAAGTTTATGTAGGAGCTCGATGGTGCAGGTGGATAGAGCGTTTGCCATGGGATCGTGAAAGTTAAGCAACTTTTGCAATAGTCGGTAATGGGATTGGTAACCAAAAACTTACTATCTCGAGCTCTTCCATGCTTCGGAAGACACATTAAGGCGTTGGTCCAGGCTGCATCATCAGTCGTTAGCACCCACCAATCTGCTCTGGGTTCGCGTGGTGGGTCATGGCCCAATTCATGAAATTGAAAGGTGAAAGTGAAATTTAAATAAACGATCCGTCGTAATAAGAACAGTTATAAACAGTAAACGTACTATACTCCTATAGGAAAAGATTTATATCGTTATATTTTTATAATATATCGTTTACAATATCCTTAAACGACGCAAGTTTTAAATAATATACCTTATATATAGCAATTTAAAGTTTAATAAATAAAAATTAAATATAATTGTATTATTACTTATAATACTTACTGTATAGCTAAAATTAACATTATTTACAAGAATACATAGGTACAAACATGGTCAAATATCACCCCGTATCGTTTCTGGCGCAAAGGTACCCATTATGCTTGCAGCGTTGCCACGCTGGATGGCAATGGACATACGTTATATTAAGTATATGTTTACTATATTATATGTTTAAAATACGTAGATCCTATTAACCTATGTCAATAAAAAATGTTAGAGTTAACGTTAAGTCATGGAGAAACATTTTGAAAAAAATAATTGAAGAAAGCATTTTTTTGCGGAAATTAACCATTTAGGTTGTCTGAATTAGCTAGTAAAATTTCTCAGGTAACTCAAAATTCGGTGTATAGACATGCTTGCTTGCTATATCGTACTGTTGTTGCCTTGGCTAAGCCTATCCCAAGTCTGTGGAGACCCGGACTGAAAGATTCACTATATTCTTCTGCACGGTGGAAGTTATTACATCATATGAGTTAATTACAGTTGCTTGTTTACAATTACAATTACTTGTGAAATTTGAGTGTAGAGAACATTAAATAAATCATAGGAAAGGCGAACAAAAACACAAAATAATACCAGCGTAACCTATGTATTAACAAGAGTAGTATCTGATAGTCACATGGTAGGTACACCTGGACGATATAGCATTTGGTGCAAATTTTTGTAACGCAATGTTTTTAAAAACAATTCCTAAAAAGCACGATTGGAATTAGATATTAAAAGTATGAATTTTAACCTAAAAATTTAAGAAGTTTATTTAGTAGCTCGATGGGGTTGTCGTTGCTTTCTTTTTGCCCATCCCAAGTATCTGGAGACCCTGAATTGAAGTTTCACTATATTCTTTTGCAACGGTGGAAGTTACTTCGTCAGTGGAGCGCTCCAATTATCCAAAAATATCTATCTGCTTCTTCTACATATGTTTATAAAAATCAATTGTGGTTCGTTTGTTTCGCTAAAACTCAAAAATGCTTATGGCCATACTGCTGGGGCACAGGCCTTCCCTATGGTTGGAATAGAGAGATTGGGCTATGACCCACCACAAGGGCCCAGTGCGGATTGGAGGGTGTTAATGACTGCAGATGCATCCGGGACCAATAGCTTAACGTACCTTCTGAAGTTCGAAGAAGCTCGAGATACTTTTGGTTTTTATCCACCCATCCAATGATTGACCGCTGCGAAAGTCGCTTAACTTCAATGATCGCAGCCGAACGCGCTAGGTACTTGCTCCATTGTTATTTGATTACCTAAAACTTATTAAAAAGAACCAATTTGTAAAATTACGTATTTTTTACAGATCGTGATTATTTAGAGAGATACATCATAAGATCTAAAGGTTCAGTTGAACGTGCAAAAGACCATCTCGATAAAATGTGCGCATCAAGAACACTTGTCCCGCATTTCTTCTCGGATTGTGACGTTAACTCTCCATATCTTGCCAACATGTAATACTTTAAGTTAATTTTATCAAAACAATTACTACCTGATAAAGCCAAATTATCTATCTTATTTCACAGTTCAAGGCGAACGTTCAACAAAGTTCTTAATTCAAATTAAGGCTTAGACCGAGGCTGAGACCGCACTGGTACGACGACTGCGATGCGATGCGACGGCGCAGTATAAACAGAAACATCTGCGGCCACAGACTTGTAATTGTATAAGTTTGATTTCATGAAATCGCCATCGCGTGGCGGTCACGATACCAGTGCGGCCATAGCCCAAGCATCTTTGTCAATCGTGAAATGTCAAAAAGAGATAGAACGAGGTTTAAATTTTATTAGCTTTAAAATTGTATTTAGAACTTCGACGCAAGTGGGCTTAAATGTTTCCTGCACAAAATCAACATCTCGCATTTCTTCATTAATTCCTATAATCACTTATTTCACTAATTTTGTTAGTAGCTTTAACTTTGCAAAGCCATAAATTTATTTTACTATTGTTACACCATTTCAAATGTACCTAAGTGCAATGTGTTTTCTCGTCCCACATTTTTAAATCAGAAGTCATTCCAATGTGGTTCAGCGAAGCGAGATGATTGGTTCATTATATCGTGCTTGTGTTGCTGCTGCTTTATTTATTTTTATCCAAATAATCCCTGATATACACACATCAAACGTCTGGGAATCAAACAATATTATTCTTGCAATAAAAAAATATGCAATCAATTTACCGAATTTGGCTTTCAGGTTGACTTTTTACTTTAATTTCCACGTATAAGTCAACAAATCACCCCTTAAAATTTGCTAACATAGAAAGAAATGCACTTTTATTATTTTTTGGGAAATTAACGTAAGTTAAAGCTAAAATTTAATTAAGAAGAACTAAAGAAGCCGGCATCGCTCGTACATGTAGCAAGAAGAACCAATTAGAATAAGTTTTAGAATGGCGATGTTAAATGGAGCCCCCTCCAAGAGATGTACCGATAATCTGGTTAAAGTCACAGAAGCCGCTAGATGAGAATAGTGAAGGACTGATCGGTGTGGACATCCTTGAGGGAGGTCTATACTAAGAAGTGGACCTCCTAGTGGAATAGTTGATTAATGATGATTTTGAATAATTCATAACTATAACTGTACAGTTATGAATTATTTAATATTATCAATAACATAATACCATACATTCACAAAGAAATAATTGCCTTGCGATATTTGAAAATGATAATAACAATTCTTTCCTTTGGTCATACAATACAATACAAAACACTTTATTGCATACCACAGAAAACATTACAATAAATACAGAGCCATTTAAATCAAGTGTTACAATGGGCGGCCTTATTGCTAAAAGCGATCTCTTCCAAACAACCTTTGGATGGAGAGGATTAGAAGGAAGTGGGAGAGACGGCGACGTAACTTTCAATGTAATTTATTAATATATACATATACATACAAAAACAAATACACATATATTTTATATTTATGAATATATACATATATATACAAATCTAGTCTAGCCATTTAAATGCTATTAAGTTCCTTGCACTACCTTTTTTCAGCTAAAAAAGTTGACTACTTATAAAGACTTGTATTACTTCGTATTTATTTATAATTTTAAAATGATTTATTAAAATTTATTGATTTTGCAGAGAAGACATATTTCTACCAAAATTAACGAAGGACTACTATCGAGTCTATTTTGTACAAAACTGTGAACGAGAGTTCACGCATGAACTTTTCAATGCACTTTACAAGCGAATTGTTTATGTAAGTAATTTGTTTATTAAATATAGACTAGTAATGCATTGCAAATATTATTTATTTTGTCTAAAATATGTGTTTTTTAACTTCCCAAAAAAACTATATATTATCATTTCCTTTTACGCCCGCGGCGCTCTGAATTTCTGCTGCTTCGTCAAAACTGTATTTCTGCCATAACAATACCGATATAATTAAAATCTCTCTTTTTTTATTGAAATTTCAGTCTATTTTAAAACCGTTCATGCCATAGTACTAATTCTGCTTAGTTTGGGATTTCCTTAAAAAAAATATGAGCTATAAATGCAATATCGAAGTGTTATATTTTTCTGCTTGTTTCCAGAAAATGGAATATATTTGCATGCATGATTATGCTTGTGGTATAATTATTGTTGCTGATTTACGTAAAGCAAATCTGTTCGAGCTAGTGAAACATATGAACATAACTGATTTGGCGCACTGGTTGAATCTCCTATTGGTAAGATCGTAAGCATTTATTTTAAACCTTAGCACAATAAACTTTCTTAAACTTCCACTTTACCTTACTGATAAATAGCGTTTCGTAATCCTCCCTCAAAAGCTTTTGCTCCTCATCAATCACAGTAGCTAGATTAACCAAATATTTATAAAACATGTATGTTTTCACATTCATAATAGTGATATTGTTACCTGCATTATTTTCATAGTTTAGGTCAAGCAAGTAAACCTTGGTGTTTGATATGTTAGGTAAATAAACTGTTTATTAACAAATCGTGAATTTCATTTTATCTAATTATTAGGAATTTTATACACCCCCTTAACAGTGTGCTCGGTAAAGCACCAAAAATGTAGCAAACTGGAAATGGTCGCTTCGTCACAGCAATTTTAATCATATCTGAAAACTGTTAACAAAATGTATTAATTTCTAGTAATTGTCAATCTGGACCCTTAGTTTACCAACTTATGCCCGCTTCCACAATCAAACCCCAAAATCACCAACTGAGGGACATTTTAGGTCATTCTAGTCCACCTTACGAAGATAGCAGTAAAATAACACGACCACTTCTTGGGTTGATAATAAATAATATTATAATATAAGTATTATATTTTTCCAAAAAGATACATTTTGTTTATTTCAGGGTGGCTTTGGGTTTAGGCTAAAAGGGTTTTATTTCATAACAACATCAAAATTCGTGGATTCATTACTGACAATTATGAAAAGCATTGCAAGTAAGAAAATCGGCGACCGTATTCAAGTGCTGAAGAATATAGAAGAATTGCACGATCATGTGGACAAAGATATATTACCAGAGGAATATGGTGGTACTGAAGTATCCAGAAAGGCACTGCACGGTAAGAAATATAATCATTTATTTTCCAGGTTGTAAAGTAAAATTCGGGCGGACGTATTAACCAATTTTGGTACCGAGACCTTGCGGAAGAAGCGGGTTCGAATCCTGTCTCAAACCTGGGCCGCGTGGATCTTTTTCTAGTAAATATTTTCTACATATTTTATTGTTGTAATTTTTTGTTACAGAAAAATGGCAAAATATAATAGGCTCGGAGGAGTATAAACTTGACATGGATAAAATAAATGAAGCCAAAACAAATGAGGAACTCAGATTAAAAGACAGTCAGAATTATCAGATGGGTCTTCCTGGCACATTCAGATCTTTAAAAGTGGATTAAATTTTATGATTAAGGATGTTATTGTTATTGGTATGATTATGACTATTAAAAATGGTGTCGGTTTCAATATGTTTACGTGACTCTATCAGTGTTACAAACTTTGAGACCTCGAATAAATCTTGAAACATATTGAAGTTTTTTTTTTCTTTTTGGTGAAGTTAATGGTTACTAAGTGTCATTAAAATGATGAGATTTTATGAAATAACAAGTGTTTTAAAAAAACTTTGACCCCTAAATTGGAGTCAAATAACTCCTATGCCATTGCTATGACATATGGTGGCAATAAAAGTTTAGGTTTTTAAAAGTTCCAGTTGCGCTCAAAACTGATCGTTGAATTTGTCAGATGTTCTATAATTTTCATCGATTTTTGCTTCTTTCAACTTCCTTATAAATATCAAATGTTCTTCCGAATTTATTATGGACTGCCATTTCTCTTTGAATAATTCGAAAAGTTTTGCTGTAATTAAATTTTCGTTTGATAAGTAATTATACGACAAAGTTCATCTCTTATATTTTATGGATCGTAGTGTTGGAACAATTTTGATTATTTAAGAAGATGAAATGATGTTTTTTGTATCATAGTTTATATTCCCTTAATATAGTATAAAAATATTTAACGTCTAAAAATTGTGTAATATAAGTGTCGCCGCACACGGGCCACCGACCACAACCACAAACGCCGCCACCTGCATATTTCTTGTAGTTTTCATACATTTTATATGGACTCGCCACACACGGTACGCCGGTGGCCGCCACACGCTACAAATCGTCGTTGCTCGTTTATTGTGGCCCGCACCGGTCACTTAATGCGCCGATACAAAACGCTTCCCCACCCCTCTCTCCCTTACCTTAGTCGGCCGCTGTCGCGCGCTTCAGCCACTTGAGTAGCCGCTTCTAGCTTCCCGTGGTAGCGTTTGTGGCTGTGGCGTGTGACCCGTATGCGGCGACACTAAATAAAAAAAAGTTAAAAATAGCCACTTTAAACGCTCGCTATATTGGAATTCTTAGTGTGACATCACAGTTTATAGCAACCTTGCAACAAAACAAACAAGTCCACAGTTAAAGTAGATCTCGTTGACTCTGACATATCCTACGAACATGGCGCTTGTTTGTTGATTTGTTGTTAAGTATTTTTACATCACAACCGCTCTGTTGCGTTGCAAATATTGGAATTTCCCACAAGTTTCCGAACTTAAAAGAATATTTTACATTATTAAAAAAAAATGAGTCCTATTTGAATTACATGCATTTTTCGCTATTACTAGTGGCTGTCCTGACTTTACTGGAGGACTGTCTTTACAAAAGTAAGCGTCCACTCCGTGCGTTTGTTTCAGAGAGCATTGCTGCGTGAGGCGGGTGTCCCGCCCAGCTCTGTGCTGGGCATATCCGAATTTCTGCTCAAATTGAAGCGCCCTTCTGTGGTAGTAGTACCTTACAGAAGATCAAAGTAAAATAACGCAACCTTTTGGTAGTGTTGTGTTTCTGTCGGTGAGTAAGGTTGCAGGTCTCCACAGGGTAGGGGACTGGGTCAGGGTAGTCAACGGTGCTAGTGATATTAATTTTGGTATAGCAAGCGTCTTTAATATGCTATCTAATCCGCTTACCATTAGACAGGCCATTTTTCCCTACTACTGGTGGCTGTCCTGACTTTACTGGAGGATATGTATCTACAAAAGTAAGCGTCCACTCCGCGCGTTTGTTTCAGAGACCATTGCTGCGTGAGGCGGGTCTCCCGCGCAGTGCTATGCTGGGCATATCCGATTTTCTGCTCAAATTGAGGCGCCCTTCTGTGGTAGTAGTACCTTACAGTAGATCACAGTAATTAACACAATCTTTTGGTAGTGTTGTGTTTCTGTCGGTGAGTAAGGTTGCAGGTCTCCACAGGGTACAGGGGACTGGGTCAGGGTAGTCAACGGTGTAAGTGATATTAATTTTGGTATCGCAAGCGTCTATAAAATGCTATCTAATCCGCTTACCATTAGACAGGCAATACGCTCCGCCGTCCTTTAACATAAAAAAAACTATAAGACGACCTTAGTAGCTGCTTACCATCACGCCCACGTAACGAGCAAATGACCCATCATTTGCTTATTTGCCACTCATTTCACATAAAAAAACTACCGGTTGGATTAATACATAATAAAGGTCAATATTGTCACACCTAAATACAACCCTTTGTTTTCCGGGGTCATTAATTTTATTCAGTCTTCTAATAATTTATCCAAAATACAAGAATAAGAAAAAATATATTAAAATTTGTCGAGTTGTTCCACTTTAACGTTACTGAAAAACTCAGGGGATAAAAGCCGTTGCTTACGTATGGCTGAGCTTTAGATCTAATTATGCTTCTTTCCAATGACTCGAGAGGTCCGGGTTCGAATCTCGGTGGGGGTAGATGTTTGTGTGATGAATACGAGCATTTGTACTCCAGTCATGGATGTTTAATATATATTTCTATATAAATACACTTATATACGTATCAGTGTATATATTATATCTGTTACCCAAGCCTTCCAATCCTGCCAATCTCATTAGACAAGCCTTACTGTGCTTACTTTGGGGTTAGGCGAACTGGTGTGTGTGTCGGAAATATTTATTATTTTTTATTTATTGAATACCCTCAGCTCCAAAGATGTAAGTATTTTAAAAGTCAAGCGAATCATGACTACTTTGGCGATATGACGGTCGAACTGGTATGGCTTAACATCAAGGAAGTAAGGTGCGGACATTAGCGAGAACTTATATAACAAAAATAAAACAATGAAACATCGACTCATTGTATTTTGCTTCTCACTGTTTTTACAAAACGATCCCGTTTCTGTTACCACGTTTCCAGAATATTGATAGCTTTTTCCAAAGTTCCTGCATCATCGAAGCCGTATGTATGTCTTTCTGTTTATCTTCAAAATATCCGGTGGAAAAGTTAGAAATTCTTCTTGTTCTAATGTCTCCATTGCTTGAAGTTTATAGACCAAAAATGTACCGATGTTAATATTAACCAGCACTGTATTATTGTAAGTATGATCGTATGTCTTTTTTGTCATTGTGTTATTTAGTTGACCTTTTTTGGAAACATTATTAGGTTATTTAATTTTTAAAATTATTTATGATATTAGTGCAACGATATTAAATACCCTATAATACACCACCTCCGCTCAAAATGTGTCCTAATCAAGAAGTGCTTGAACTCCACTCTAGCACTTCTTAGTTCACAGTCACGCGCGGACCATTGAAAAGTCAACAAGCCGCAGAGTTCCGTGAAATAATGCGAAATAAATACTTGTAGTACGTAAAGTGCCTTTTTTTTCTACAGGTATCTAATCAATGTTTGTTAATTTAACGCATTTGAAGCAAATTTTGTTCTAATACTGACTTTAAACTGATTTAATAGAAAATATTTGTGATATTCAAATGCATGGTTAGTTATATAGCCGTCTCTTTTCCTCGCAGTTCGTACCTGCTATTAGCAATATAGCGCATTCAAAATTGTGCGTAGGATCAAAGAAATAAAGTCTATATTCTTCCACATATAGCAATACATCGTAAAATTTTACGAGCTTTCATTTCGAACTGTCACAACTTTTTGACTCGTTTCAATTAAGACCTTATATAGTATGCATTAAAGGTGACATTCAATATTTAAATAATGCGTTATATTGTTTTTGACAACGTGATCATCTCACAGAGAACCGTGGATCATCCAATGTACCTTTAGGACAGGTTTCGGGTACGATTTTGTTCGTGTTGATGTATGTTGTAAGTTCGTGCGGTAAGTTGGTTATTACAAACGAGTAGACGAATGTAAGCCCGAGACCGAGACCATAGTTACGAGTTTGTAAATACCAATTCCGCACGAATATCATATAAAATTTTTCAACACATTTGTGAGGAAACAGTACCTACATCTAATTAAAGTAATGAAGCAAACTTTTTCTAATAAGAAAATGGCACTCATTTCCAAATGGCGCAACGTGCGGGTGGTGACAATTAGAAGGAGCAACATCTTTCGATTGGTTTTCTTTTTAGTTTCAATGTGTGAGACAGAGGTATAGATTAAAATCACTTCCAAGGAGGTTCCACCGAAATTTAAAAAAAACCGTGAACGATACGCGCGGCGCCGTAAAATGTTTTACCGTATGTGGCCGGTCATTTAGAAACTTCTATGTATTTTGACTCCTATAAATAAACAAGCATCCTATACCTTGTCCAAATTTCAAAATCAGCAGTCGTAGTGTTTTATTATAAAAAAATAATAACTTTGACTGCTAGGAAAAAGAAGGTTAAAAAAATAGAATTATACGAACTTCGTTCGAATGTTCTATGTCTTAGAATATTTTCCCGACACATTTGTTTTTAAAATGATCAGCAATTTGTATTTTTTAAGTACCTACAGGTCTCAATTTTTAAAATTGACAAGTCTAATTTCATTTCATGTCATATTAAGCTGCCCTAAACACATAAATCAATTTGTGCTATTAAAGCCCAGATCATGATGGTTCTCAACGATTTTTTTTCTACCCACCACTCTACCTTAAGTGAAAACCGTGGGTGAATAGCCGATCAGTAAAAGGTCACAGCTTTAAGTTAGCTTTAGGAAAGAGGACCGTAGAAATAAATACATAATGTGAATTGATCATAGAATGATTTAACACTGATTATAGCTGTAGCATTTGCAATTATGGTACCTATTAGGACGGCTACGATGTTACACACTGCTACAATAATAACGAGGCAATCGTAATATAACGAAATATCGAAATAAGGCATCTGATATTATCGAAATATAATACCGCGCCTATGGATGGAAGGCTTTATTTTCTGAGAAACATCTTATTTTCCATAGTAAGCAAATAAGGTGCAAAGGTTAAATTAGATAGAATTTTAATTTACTGACACCGTGTCTTAGCATCCTGTCTTTATAAATTTTACAAATTATGCTCATCTGAATAAATTTAAAAATGTTGATCAGAAAATAGATAATCTCATAGATTTACCAGTCTTTTGCATACATGCATATTAGTCAGTTGGTTTGATAGCATAAAATGAAACAACAAAGGAATGTTGAAGATGTTATGATTATCAAAAAGTATAAATGTTTCAGATACTGTTCTACTTAAGTAATAACTTGTTTGTCAATTCTTCTTCTTTTTTTCTTCTTGATTTTCGTTGTTTAAATCGTATTTCATCATTTATGTATATTTCTCCAATATATTTCGTAACAAAATTACTTTCAGTCATTATTTACCCCTCCATTACAAAGTTATAAAAAAGTTTTAATCTACACTTAAGCTTCTAAATGTTCCGGGCATACCCAAATACTGTTCATTAAATTCATCTGTTCGTCTCAAAGCCTCGTTTGTTTTAGCCTCGTTCATATTTTTAATGTGTTCCATGAAATCCTTTGAACTCAACATGTCCAACCACTTATCTGTTGGGAATTGAAAAATCAGAAATTAATAGTCCTCATCTTGTAGTTCGTGGAGTAAGATGGCGCTGTGGTGGATAATGGCTATATAATCACCCAGTCTGTACTCTTGCTGTGGGGATATTAATAGGCTGATAACAATGTGACGACTGTGGTTGATAGAAATAAACAAAGTTTGTAATGTTATCTAGACCATGACAGTGGTTCAAATATGGCCTTTACGGCATTTATGAGATGGGACAACAAATAAAAAATATTGACGAAGATTATTGAGCTCCACCAGGATAGGGTAAGAGCTGAACAATTTCCCAGCTGGGAGAGTTGAACTATCGTTCAAAATTGTATAAAAAAATAGCGCAAACAATAAATCAATTCGTTCATTGGTCACATGCGAGACGCCAATCACAACAAAACAGTCTCGCATGGTCACCAATAACCGAAATGACGTTTTGTTTGCACTAAATTCAAATACAATTTTGAGCGATGGTTCAATTCTCCCACCTGGGCAACAGCTTGCTTATTTAATATATTGTTATGTTTATTTACTACTAGCGGCCGCCCGCCACTTCGTCCGCTTTAACTTTAGTTTTATGAGAATCCCTCAGGAACCTAACATTTTTTGGGACAATGAGTATCTCCAAACATACAAACTTTCACATTTAAAATATATTTAATATATTATAGAATTTATAATACAAAAAATGTATATCATAAAATAAACAAAATTTATGATTTCGATAAAAAAGTCAATATTCCATACTAAAAAAAAGAATTTTGATTATTAATAAACATTTACGATAATTATATTTAATAAATTTGTAGCGGTGATATCTATACGCCCCACATATAACCAAAATGGAGGAATTAATTACTCGCCTCTTCAAGAGATGGCGCTACCGGCGCTGCGAACAATAAGTATGAAAGCCTACATCACGCAAGGGAAATTCAGAGGCAAACACTTAATGTATGCAATGCCCCACCAACATCAGTTGGGCCGTGGCCCCTGAGCTATCATCACTCCAGCTCGGAGGAAGATCTTCCCCTTTGGCCTATTTGAGCGGTAGGCTGATCTGAGAATATGTTATTATAAGAATCTATTTTTTTGCGAATAGGTTCATTTTCATTTCAGCTGTACAGTCCAGCAAAATGAGGAGAGCTGTATCCCGGAAATTTTGCTTATGCGCCTGTTTACTTTGGGAATGGATTATAAGAGTTCCGGTTTTCAGAGAATCACTCTGCAGGTGATTGTGTGAATCTAGGATAAATGAAATGTGACCTCCATATTTTACGATATTTCAACCACCATATTGGGACTGTCTATAACTTAAAAACCTAGGATAGTAAACAGTAATTTTTACTTACTGTGTAGTTCTGTCATTGGTAATTCCTTGCCTCCATATTCTTCTGGTAATATATCTTTTTCAACGTGCTCGTAAATTGTGTTGAAGTCCTTATGAACTCCTATTCTACTGGCGATTTTCTCAGATACCACTTGCTTGAGTAGGGATACAACTGTGGTTATCAGTTTAGATGTCGAAACTAAATGTATACCCTTGACTCGTAAACTATACGTTTTCTGAAATGTAGTTTGAAAAATATAATGAGAAAATTATTTGAACTAGATCAGCGTGTGCTCTTTGCGACTAAACCACTGACTGATAATTAATGATGACAGAAAAATCAATAAATAAATTGACGACCTCCGTGGCCGAGTGGTTTGTACGCCGGGTTTCATGGTGTCGCCGACTTGAGAGGTCTCGGGTTCAAATCCCGGTGGGGGCAGATGTTTGTGTGATGAATACGAGCATTTGTACTCCAGTCATGGATGTTTAATATGTATTTTTATAAAAATATACTTATATATGTACAGTTTATGTATACTATCCGTTACCCTAGTATCCCATAACACAAGCCTTATAGTGCTTACTTTGGGGCTAGGCTAATTGGTGTGTAAGTAAAAAAAAAGATAAAGTAGTTTTAAACTAAACAAAGTGGAGGAAACTAAATCACTACATGCATATTATGTTCACGTAGATAAATTACGCAAGTTTTTAAAGAATCATTATTTGGGAGCATATAAATTTCGAAAAATTATCAGGATTCAAACCCAGGACCTTTAAAGCATAAGACAGAATCATTACCATTGCAACCAAGCGGTTTTCTAAGTAATTTTGTATTACATAAATATCGACCAAATAATTTATTTTTATTTAAGAAAGATTTAGCCGAAACTATATACATACTGGCTACCAAAGGCTTGATAAAAATAAAAATTGCTTTATGAAATAGTTTTCATAAAAATCAAGCTAGTGGCGAGATTATAAAAATCGGTTGGTAATACAACCGAGCGAGCTAGCTACGAAGTTGATTAACACCACGTTATCATAATCGTCGTAAACGACATATCATCCAGAGTCTTGACACAAGATTTAAATAGAGAGGTGCTTTCCAATGAGAACGATCTTTACATAGCACGAAGTCCTACAACACACTCACTGCTACAACACAAAAGTTGCTGCTTGACTAATCGCGAATTTCAAATCATAACAAATAAAATCTAGGTATCCAATTAAGCAAAGCTTATATATATAGTTATGTAATTAGAGTTGAATTCAAGGATTAATACTTACAAGCATGATATTCATAAATTGTCCCAATTGGACTACATCAAATTTCTTCAGAAATTCCATAATATTCGCCTCTCTGAGATCCAAGACTACAAACACACCATAGCAGTAGTCATGCTCAAACAAATATTCTACAAACTGAAAATAAGGAAGAAAAATAATCTCAGAAAATCTTTTATTTTATAAATACTATTACTATACTGAAGTAAATAACGAACTGCTATTACATACTTCAGTATAAGTAATTTACTATTAAATAAATACCATCTTATTTTCCGAAGCAAGAATAAATTTCATTCGAAGTAATGATACCAATAAAATTCGGGATTAGTTCGTATAAATGCGTCATCACATTTTATACTTTCTGAAAAATTACTTGATGAAAAGTTGCTGGTACTTGATTTTTACAAAGCTTTTCTTAGTTAATAATAAAACCGATTTAAAAAGTGATACATTAAATGTTGTTAGTTCTTCTGATCTCTTTTAGCTGTTTTTATGCTGTGCTTACTTCATTTTTAAGTGCAGTTAACTAAAATCAATGTAAGTTTGATTCTATATTGTGCCTAATAATATGAACTTCTTTTCCTCAAACATGCTTGAAAATTTGAGCATTATTTTGACAACCTTCGTACTGGTCAAATACATGCGAGCTGCGGCCGGCAAAAGTTGTATGAAAATAAATATCTGCGGTGTTTTAACAGCCAAATAAATTACATAATAAACTCATATCTGACGTCGAATTTAAAAATAGAAAGATCTTTTACTTTATGGGAACCAAGGAGGTAACTTATCAAAGGTTTTATTTAAATTTCGAACTGATAAGCAAATTGAAAAAACTGTTTATTGAAAAAAATCAAATGAACTTAACGTAGAAAAAATATTATAGTTCGTTGTTCGTCATTGATTTAAAATAAAAATAGGTAAAAAAACTTTTTAAGTTAAACGGTTTTATGTTAAACATACATTGCAATGTTTAAGATAAATGTACTAAAAACTAAAAAATAATAAAATAGATACAGTCGTGGGAATTATAAACATATGCATAGACTAGACTAAAATAAAACCGTGGGGCACGTCAATTGTCTACAAATTATCGACTTAATGTGCGATAGAAGAATAGTTTAATTCGTTGTTAGGCAGTTGGCCCGCAGACGGTGAGGAAATTACTATTTTCTTGCTCATGGAAATTCCAATAGTTATACACTCCATGTAAATAAAAGAGATGTTTCAACTAGTTTATCGTTGGACATTCACACTGCTGGCTGGCGAGGAATTGTTTCACTGCTCGTAGTTTGTCTTTAATCGACATATAAACATATGATAAAAGTACTACTCGCTCACCACTATGAAACCCTAAAACTCGCTTATAATCGAGCTTGCTAGCTTGTTTCCACATTCTATCCCTACTTATCACACGTCCATCGTTGTCGGTTGAACAACTGCCTAATTATAGTGTAACATTACAAAACAAACATTTTAATCAACGATTGTAGACAATTGACGTGCCCCACGGTTTTATTTTAGTCTAGTCTATGCATATGTTTATAATTCCCACGACTGTATCTATTTTATTATTTTTTGGTTTTTAGTACATTTATCTTAAACATTGCAATGTATGTTTAACATAAAACCGTTTAACTTAAAAAGTTTTTTTTACCTATTTTTATTTTCTAGTTTTTAGTTTTTATTTCGCATTCTGTTTAATTCATTTAGTGCTTCATTATTGCAAGGTTTCTTGCCCGTTAGTTTATTGCAGTCCAACTCCTCTATTGTATTGATATAGCATAATAAATTGTATTCTACTTGTTGAGACCTTTCATTTGATACCCATATTGATGGGATTGATAACCTACGTTATCCGCCATTTTGTAGCGGCCGCCATCTTGGATTTCAATTTTTTATAGTATATTGTATTCTGCTTATTGAGCCCTTTCATTTGATACCCATATTGATGGGATTGATAAAACCTACGTTATCCGCCATTTTGTAGCGGCCGCCATCTTGGATTTCAATTTTTTATAGTATATTGTATTCTGCTTGTTGAGCCCTTTCATTTGATACCCATATTGATGGGATTAATAAAACATGAATTATCCGCCATTTTGTAGCGGCGGCCATCTTGAATTTATAATGATAATCAATAAACATAATTGTATTGTCACCAAAATCCAAAGTGTATACAAAATTTCAGATTAATCGGTTGACAGGAAGAGGGTGAAATTTGAATTACTAAATTTGACCCAAGAATAAAACAAACGGGGTGAGCTAAATAAAACCGTTTAAAAAGAAACTGCGCTATATTTGAGAAAAGTACTATAGAAGCCTTGGCCACAACTAGGCATTGATGGACTTACGTATTTTGCTGGCCGCTGCAGTAATGTAAAATAACTTACAGTACGGAGACTAAGTGGAGATTTTTGGATTTACTCGAGCGTGGCAGAATACGAGTAGAATGAGGAGTGCCCTCCTTACGCTTTCCCCCTTGCAATTCTCAAGTAGCTTCTATTAAAAAAAAAACTGACGATTTGGACGCGGCCAAAAGTCATAGCCGTTTGTTGTCATTTTTATTGGCTGCCCTAGACGTTCGGCTCTACTTAGAGGGCTCAGGTATGGTGGGAGTACTTCACAAGGTCCAAGGTTGCCCTCCCTTTTGTTATTTTGCCGCGCTTGAGTAAATCCAAAAACCTCCGCTTCCTATTATTATATTGGTGACCCATAAAAAATAATAGTTTCGAGATCACCTGCATAAAGAAGTCTATAAAATATCGATTAAAATTTATAACTTCCGAACTTACGCAAATCATTCTTTTGTAACATTCTGTGAAAAATTCTGAAGTGAACTCTTGGCTAAAGTTCTTCAAAATATACACTCTGTAGTAATCTTTGGTAAGTTTTGGTAGGAATACGTCATGCCTGAAAAAAAAAACTTGTTAAAAGATATATTATCGTGGAATTCATTCAGTACCAGGCCCTAGGCCCTGCCAGAATGTCAGCACCGCAGCGGCTCTAGCGTCACTGTGGCACTATGCTGAAGCAGGGATCTAGTTTTGTGTAATCTTAAATTTAAGGCTCATAAAAAAGATCTTTCTTTTTTTTACCAGACTCTCAAGGTGACTTCGTCTGTACTTCGGGGACCCCACAATTTTATATAACACTAGCGGCCCGTCCTCGCTTCGCTTCGGTGTAGAGTTGAAGTGTAGAATAGTGTTTTTATTCTCAGGCTTCTATTATACACAATGACATTCATCTATGATTCTTCTTATACCTGCATGCAAAGTCTCAGCCCAATCGCTTTAAAATTGACAAATTTTCATACAAACTTTCATTACCTATTTTATCCCCTTGGGGGTAGAATTGATTAAAATCCTTTCTTAGCGGATGCCTACGTCATAATATCTACCTGCATGCCAAATTTCAGCCCGATCCGTCCAGTGGTTTGGGTTGTGCGTTGATAGATCACTATGCCAGTCAGTCACCTTTGAGTTTTATATAATACTAGCGGACCCGACAGACGTTGTCCTGTCTACACGTCTTTGTGAATCTAAACCATTCTCAGATCCCCTTGAACACTCACAAAAAAATTCATCAAAATCGGTCCAGTCGTTTAAGAGAAGTTCAGTGACATACACACTCACAGAAGAATTATATATATAAAGATAGATTTAACAGGGATGAAATAATCATATCCTGATATGCATTTATCAAATGTTCAGTTATCTCAGCATTATTGGGTAAGAGCTACTTCACCACAATACATAAATCAAATTAGTGCTTAATCCTGTTTAAGATATTAATTCATATTTGTCAATTGTTTATAGTAAAAAAAAATGGAAGCGTGTAATTTATGTACGCGAGTGAGAAGTTATACTTCTTTAGCATCATTAAAAATATGTTTAATTGCATGCAAATAATTAATAATTACAATAAAATAATAAAAGGACTGGAAAAGGATAGTTAACACAGTCAATTAAGTTCAGTTTTAATTTGAAAAATTAAATAAATATTCAAAATATTCAATTAAAATCACTACTGAATTTAAGTTATTAGTCCATATGTAATTAGCACTTGTAAGTAACTAAAACACGTTGTGTCTATATAGAAACTAGAAACATGTGGATAAATATTATAAATATGAAAACAGTGATCAGAGGCGACGAGCGTGCCAACATTGTTTTTGACAACGCGATCATCTTATGGAGCTCCGTGGATCGTTCAAAGTACCTTTCGAACAGATGTCTAATAATGGTGGATTATTAACCACTAAGTGGTTAATAATCCACCATTATTAGACACTAACATTCATAACGCGCAATAACATTCATGGTGTTACTATTGTGTTACAGTGATGCGCGCGCATCTAAAAATTTCACTCTCATCATTTTTTCATAACGCGCCTAAAGAAGTATAACTTCAAAAATTTAATAAGGCTTATATATGTTTTCATTACGTTTAAATTAGATTTTAGAACTCTGGTGCAAGTGGGCCATAGATTAACATCTACAAGTTTATTTTTATTTTGCGAGGCATTTAACGTACTCATTAATGGATTCGCTGGTCTGATTCCTGGTAAAAAGCAAGTAAACTAAAGTCTATAATACTCAACATCAGGTCTAATAATTTGCTGAGCCTTGGAACATACTACAATATTTAAATATATTTATTAATTTAATAAAAAATCAAACTGCGGTAAAATTTGTCGTATATTTTTATAAATAACGAAAATAAACCTTACAAGAATTGTAGTTTGAAGTCCTTCGGATTCTCATTGGTGAAGAATTCAGGCATCATTGTCCTCGCCGTGCACATTTTGTCCAATCGTTCCTTACTCCTTTCCACGGAACCCTTAGATCTTATAATACACCTTTCCAGATATTCTCGACCTGTAATTTAATGTTATATTTTATTTTAATTTCATTATTGTTGTGGAATATCTATTGAGGGGACTGTGCGAATGGTTGTTAAGTGGCGCTGCTCAAGAACAAAAACTTGAGTAGGAAACTTTTTTTGGAAACTGAAAATGAGCGTTAATCTGGTCGGCAGTGCCATTCTGCGAGAATAGACCCACTTTTCACCGTCTGAAAGAATAAAGTCACTCTCACCGTATTTGTTTTTACAGAATAGCACTGGAGTATTTGTAAGAACTCCATTGGTATAATAGTAGTTATTCACAATGAGTGAATCACATTACTCGAGCGTAAATTATTAAAAAAAATCGGCCAAGTGCGTGGCGTGCCACGCGCAGTGTAGGGTTATTTGGTATATCGGAAATTAGAATAACCAATTAATATCAATAATAATAATAATAATAATATTTATTTAACAATAGTAAAATAATACATGAACATTAATTTTACAATAAGCACCTTACCAATGACATTTTTAAAACAGTGTGAGTCTCAAACTCCCAAACTAGGACATGTCCTGTATCTCAGGAGTCAGTGGCTCATCCCAGATAAGTAAACTCAATCTCAATAGCGTACATCTTAAGAACTTAATATTATGAATTTAATGCAAATGGATCTGTATGTGTTTGTGTGCGTGTGTGTGTATGTGTGTGTGCGTGTGTGAGTGTCTGCGTTTGTGCGTGTGGGTGTGTGTTCGTGTGTGTGTGAGTGTATGCGTTTGTGCGTGTGGGTGTGTGTTCATGCGCGTGGGTCCGTGTACAATAATGGGTAGTTTACCTAATAAGATCTTCAGTTTCCTCATAATTGTATTTTAGAAGTAGATCACTTACAGTTTTTTTTACATTATGTAGTGTCAATGAAAAAATGGGTTTTATTTTATGAATTTTATTATATAATTTTGTGCTGAGAGCGTTATATTGTTTACTAGCCCATGCTGTGCGACACATGATCTGGGGACAAACAGGAGCACAGTGACGTCTTGATGATGTGTCGAGCTCCAGAGGAAGGGAAGAGTGTTTGCGTAGAAGCATACGAAGGATGGATAGCTGCCTAACCGTAAGAACCTCGCACTCCGAATACAGTTTCGCCGTTGGATATGTCCTACGTTTACACAATAAAACCTTAAGGACTGCTCGCTGGGCTCGTTCCAGTTTCAACAAGAAAGTTTTATTAGCCCCTCCCCACACAGAGATGCAGTAGGACAATATTGACTGGCAAAATCCAAAGTAAACCGTAAAAAGCGTTGACCGTTCAGCCGAGTGGCGCAGGTTTTTAAAGATGTAAATGAGTCTCCGGATTCGTCCTGTAAGGGCTTCAATTTGGACATGCCAGTCAAGCCTGTCATCGAGATGGACACCCAGATACTTAAGGCTTCTTACAGTATTAAGTGGTTTGCAGCGACATGAGTTTAAGTCTGTATTCCGACAATGGTGCAATTTAATATCGGCTGGGGGCATGTTTACTTGAGATTTTGCAATGTCGAATTTTAGAACCTGGGTTTTTTCGAAGTTTAGTGTGAGAAGGTTGATGGATAGCCATTCCCTGACCAGAACAAGAGCATTCTCCGCGTTATGCTTAGCAGAGACCCAACTATCACCATAAACTAGAAGTGCCGTATCATCGGCATAGGAAAAGATGTTGCAATTTTCAAGAGATAGACGGCAAAGCTGATCCATATATATGAGAAATAGCGTCGGGCCCAGAATACTGCCCTGCGGCACACCATAGCATATTGATACCTGATCGCTGACAAAACTACCTATTTTGACACATTGTGAGCGGCTAGTAAGATAGCTACTAAGTATTTGCAGGCCAGGACCCCGAATTCCAATACGCTCCAACTTGTCGAGAAGAATTGGGATGGAGACGGTGTCAAAAGCCTTGGACAGGTCAAGGAAGACACCATAACATTTAAGCCTTTTGTCCATTTTAGTAACAAGTGCTTCAACAAGGCTTGAGACCCCGTCTTCCGTGGATAAACTGCTTCGAAAACCAAATTGATTATTAGATAATATTTTATATTTATTCAGATACGAAACCAGTAAATTATTAAGATACCTCTCCAACACTTTAGAAAGAGCTGAGAGAACAGAGATGGGTCTATAATTGGTGACGCAATCTCTACTCCCGGCCTTGTGGATAGGATGGACTATAGCCCTTCTAAAAGAGCTGGGAAAGACACCGTTTTCTATACAACGATTGAAAATATGGGTAAGTGGAGCGGCTAGAGTAGAAGAAGACTGTTTAATTACCCGAGCTGGAATACCGTCACATCCCGTTGCGCAATCACTTCGTAGGCTGAGAATGAGCTTTTCTACCTCTGCCTCCGCAACAGGGAGGATCACGAACGAATTACTAATTGGGTAAGTATGTCTAACCAAATTACTCCGTTGCGGAGACGGCGAGGATGATATTCTCTTAGCAAGATCACTACCCAAATTAGCAAAATAGTCATTAACGAAATTCACAGATGAGTGACTGTCACCTGCAATATTCAAAAGTTCTTCTGGGGGCCTGTGAATTCGTTTACTGTTCGTTATTGTTTTGATAACATTCCACAATTCCTTTGGATTATTTTTTGCTCTTTCAAATTCTAGCTTCTCATACTCCTGTTTTACTTTTTTTAAAATGACGTTACAGAAATTGCGATATCTATAATAAGTCGTTTTTAAGATTACATTGTCAGGGGAGTACTTTAATTTGAGGTGCATAGAGTCGCGATTTCGCAAACAGCGAAGCAAACCAGGAGTGATCCACGGTTTTAAGATTTTGTTTCTTCGTGACACTTTAACAATTGTTTTATTTTTGTCAATAACAGATTTAAGGCAAGCAATAAAAGTATCTGTGGCTACTTCGGGATTTGATTGTTCTAATATCGGTGTGAAGTTTGTTATATCTATCTCTTTTTTAATCGTTTCAAAATTATATTTAATTGCAATAGTATGTTTTACTTTGAAGTTCACGGAATTGTTTACTTTTAGAGACAATACAATAGGATAATGATCCGTGATCTCAGTTTGAACGACAGCCACTGTAGCAACGTGGTCCGTCTTCACAAAAAAATGATCCAAGCAATTTTCCATTCTTGTTGGAAGAAGATGCGCTGGCAATAGGCCCAGGGAGGACATAAAGGTAAGGTATTCATTACTATGACGATTGTTATTATTTTCCTTTATGTCCACGTTTATGTCACCTGTCAGCACAATATTTTTAAAGTTTAGAGGAGAAATAATATTGTCCAAACTATCTAAAAATTTGTCAAGATTATTGTATGATGGAGATCGATAAACTGCAACAATGGCAGTATTGCCAATGCAACACAGCAGGCAATTCCCCTCCTGAAAGGCAGGCTCACTAATTGCACATTTCAGATCTTCTTTGATATATAAAACAACACCGTCATTTTGAAGAGGATTTATACAGGTTGAGTAGACAGTATAGCCATCAAGATAAGGAAGTTGGCTAGTCACTCTAAGCCAACATTCGGACAATACAATGACATCGTATTTTATTTCTGTCATGGCTACTGTTGCGATGAAGTTATTGAAATTTTTTTGAATACTTCTTATATTTGCGTGAATTATTTTTAGTGAAGAGTCATTAGGGATATAATTATTACAATTTTCTGGGGTGCAGTAATATGATTGTCCAACTTGTATGTCATCAATCTCGGATACTATATTTACTAAATTAGTCATTTTTATTATTTATAACAAACATGCAAGCGACACAGTAAAAAACTATGTCCACTAAAGAAATGGGTTGGACTTCGTAGGGTTTGTTTTTTATTACTATATTCGCGCAACAGTGAAGCACTCGTGTAAAGCTGGATGGCGTGTGATATCTTTGAGAGGAAAGTTCTGAGAGGATGCTGGTTGAGTTATATGATAGAGAATCGAACAATAGAATAAATTGAATATAAGAAGTAAGTGGATGGTAAAACAATATGACGATTAATATTATTTCAATATGACCCATGAAGGTTTGTAGTGTGATTGTGTATATGTCGATATTATGATGAATGTGAGTATACCTGAAAGGAAATTGAGATAGTGTATGGATTACAGAATGGTTTTTGTGTGTATGTATTATACTATATCTAGCATTGAAAGATTCACTGTGGTATAAGTGAGCTATTAAGACATAATTCTGTTTTAACATGGATAAACTTAGAGTTCGAATCTCTGCGAAGGAGCACTCTGCCATTAGAAGTCCAACAATATTTAAAATCATGTTTTTTAGCGAATTCTCGAGCAAGAAAAAGTAACTTACGGACAGAATATGGCAGATGCTCATCCACATAGACTGGTCGCTTGTCGTCGACCATACCAAAGTGTTCACAACTGAGTCTCGACGAGTTCGAACGGTCCTTATTGAAGCGTCGTGATGAAGCAAGTAAATTATTTTTAACTTGAACAGACTTGAATTCAGTCACAATCGCTTTAACTGTTCCAGGTTTTCCAGGGCGCCTATAAATATCACGAATGTCATTGTCTTGGATAGTAATATCCAGAGTGGTACCAAGCTTTTTTACTAAGGATATTAGGTCACCTTCTGATTCTTTGTCTTTTTCAGGAACATTTCGTATTTCAATAGACGAAGGTCTAGAGAGTTGGTGTAATTCCTCAAACTGTTTCTGCAACCCAATCATAAAAGCTCTATTTTCGCGTTTTTCAATCTCCAATCTAGCGATTTTTTCTTTGAATTCTTCATGTTGGGCATTCATGAATGAAATTGAGTTTTCGATATCAGAATTTGACTTTTGTATTTCAGCACATTGGGACTTGAGGTACGCTATATCCGTCACAAGTTTAGATAGTGTTTCATCTTGTTCAGCTTTCCAAGCGCGAAGCATCACCATCAAATCGTTTTTAAATTCCTGCAATACACCTTGGTCGTCAAATTTTGTTTGGGGAGACCCTTCGACCCGAAGACGCTTTGATCTAATTGGTACTTTACGTGTTTCCACAACCTTA